TCGATAATCGATCGCGGGAGAAAGTATCACGATATATCATTATATCGATATATCGTCACACTCCTGCTGTCCAGTTGTTGTAATAATTAACTTGTATTGTTATGAGACAAAGTCGAGATGAGCTGAGTTATAAAAGGTAATAGATTCAGATTCATTTATTTACCATTTGCTGTAAAACCACATTGGAATACATTTGCAAAAGTCCTCAGTGTGCACAAGACAAGTACAGACATAAAACATTAAAAGACAGAAATAAAACAAATAAGACCGTAAACAATTGTCACTGTGAAATCGATCGACTAAAACAATATCAAAACAAGTGCAAGATCATTTTAAAGTGCTCTGTTCAAGCTGATGACAGCCTTTGGGAAAAAAACTGTTAGCGTAACGAGATGTCCTGCATCTCAGCGAACGATGTCTTCTGCCAGAGGGAAGAAGCTGGAACATGGCTTTCCCAGGGTGGCCAGAAGAGTCATTGACAATCCTAAGAGCTTTGTTGAAAAGTCTGGATTTATAAAGAACCTCCAGAACAGGAAGCTCACAGCCCACGGTCCTCTTTGCAGAGCGGAGCACCTTGTTTAAAGCTCTCTTGTCTTTATCTGTGATGTTTCCAAACCACACAGACACAGAACCAACAAGTAAACTCTCAATGGTGCAGCGATAAAAGTTAAGCAGAATCTTAGAGTTAGTGGTAAATTCTCTAAGTTTACGCTGAAAGTAGAGACGCTGACAAGCTTTCTTAACAACTCGGTCAGTGTTTTTAACCCATTTAAAAACACTGACCGGATCACACGGAAACGTGCACTCCTCTACAATCTGTACCTGGGAGTTATCGATTACGACAGGCAAATGAAAGCTGTTGCGACTGAAGTCAAAGACCAGCTCACATGCCTTAGGAAAGGCAAGTATTTATTTATGTGGCTATGGGCATTTCAATGTCTACTCGGGCTGCACCATTTGTGTGTGTTGTTTATATGACAGTTGTGCGGTGACTTTTTATATTTTGAAAAAGTTGGGTTTTGTAAACTTTAAAGTAGGCATGTCCAAACTGCCTGGACTACTGGGGCGAGAGTAGCTCAGTTGGTAGAGCACTGGCCTTTAGGCCTGAAGGTTGTGGGTTCGAGCCACCTACTTCACGACTCCCACTGATGACTGCTGTCGTTGTGTCCTTGGGCAAGACACTTAACCCCACTTTGCCTCAAGCCCCCGCTGAAAGATCTCAGCTCCTGTGGACTCACCACCTGCAGGAGGATCAGTGAGGGGCTGGTGCACAGAGCACCAGCCCCTCACTGAGTCCACAGGAGCAGCTCTGACTGCCACCCCCCCGTCCCAGAAATGGATTAAGGGGAAGAAGATGGATGGATGTCCAAACTACGGCACGTGAGCCAAATGTGGCCGTCTGTAATTTTATGTCTCTCTCTGCCGCCAACACAAAGTAGTAACCATTGAGGCACTTTTCACGGTGTTAACCAGCCAACTTAGCCTCCACCAATATTGTCATGCTACACCTTGTTTTAAAGAAACTCAGATCCTTTTGGAATTGATATTTATTTAAATATACTGTATACATTTGGTCATGATTACACTAATGTTGCTGTGGAGTAATCAATATGGACATACCAAATCGCATTAAAAGATCAGACCCCAAAATCTAGTCAAAACATATTGTCGGTCCCAGGACAAGTCTAGTGAACTAAAGGCCCTCTCACACACTCTCTCTCTCAAAAGTTTTCTGTAGAGTGCGTTTATCAAACAACTTGAGTAAAATTGGGAAATCTCATATCTCAAACGGGATAACCATGCATTTCGGAAAGCAGCTGGCAGAGGATTAAATTATAGTAAAAGATTATTTGTGGAATAACTACAGAACATAGAGTAAATAGTGATAGTAGATTTGGAGCAAGCAAAAAGTATTTTGTTTCGCCTTAAAAATGAAAACTACCACAGCTCTTACCAACATGGGGCTAAACTGTTTAATTAGGATATCATCAGAATTTTGTATTGAAATAATTGTCCCCAATTTACGCATAATTTCATAATTTCTTGCAGCTTTTATTTCAATGATTGCTGTCTTTGTGATTTGCTAATTCCTCATACAGCCCTATTTCATATTTATACTCATAAAGAGGGGTGACATTTCATAAAATCCAAGCTACAGGTCCCCTTGTTTTTGCCTTCAATACAGTGTTAAAAAAAGAAGCTTATCTGCCTTTTTCACACCATGTGGAGTGAGTTTAGGAAGCGCCTGAAATAAAAATCTGTGATAAATTCTTCTTGGTAACTTCCTGTTCTCGGCAACTGTCACATACTTCCTGCTCTGGGCTTTGATGGCCCTGGCTGCATCCAAAATCCAAATTCATAACTAATGTCTCCTAATCCTTGTCCCTGCGTCTTTCTATTCATTGTTTGTTTTCTTTCTATTTGTTGAGCTTGGTTGCATAATTGTATACCTTTTTATTAGCATTTTTAAAAGTAATTTAGAGGTGTTAAAGCTGAGGTACCTAACTCTCAAACCACAAAAACATGGAAGTTTAATACATTTTTTGTTACTAGTTTCTCGCTCTCAAACCAGTTTAATTTCATCACTGGTTTTCTTATGACTGTATCTTTGGCCTTTGTCACAAAAAAGACAGAACCACCATCACTCAACCAATTGGCTCTCAGCCCTGTCAAATAGCGACTCAAAGGGATCTTTAATACAAGTATGCAAAAGATGACAGGTTTTCCAGTGTTGGGTACGCTACTTTGAAAAAGTAATTAGTTATAGTTACTAGTTACTTCTCCCAAAAAGTAACTGAGTTACCAGTAAAAGTAACTATTGCGTTACTTTTTCGTTTGTCGTGGTACCGAGCTTTAGCTGGTTGTAGTTTAGGATAACTAAATAATAACTAACTAATAAGTAGATTAATTTTTGCAACAACGCCACCCTATTTTAGTATAGAGAACTGTCCTCCAAGGCACACAGGTAAGACAGGCCAAGGTGCCATTTAAATTACATTGCATTTATTTTTATCCATTGATCAAAAAAAACGCATTATAAAACTTGCAATTGAAAGAGACTATTTTAAAATAATTAGTTCCCACATACACACACGGCTCCTCCGTTCAGCAGCCATCGCGCCTGACAGACCAAAACGAGGGAAAATGTGAACGGAGCAATCGCTTGCTGCCCGCGCAAAGCTTGCACTCCACGACAACGTTTTTAACTTTTTGACTGATATAGTTAAATAGTGTGCGTATCTCCACCAGTAAAACGAATTCCTCTCCTCTGGCACTCGCTCATGTGCTCAACATAACGTAAACACGCAAGCTCGCACGCAGCGGTAGTGCAGTTTTCCCCTGCTTTCCCAAGGCCGGTGCCGCCGGTAACGAAGTATTTAGGTAGTAACTGTAATATAATTAAACGTATTTTCATAATAACGCGTTACACTACTACATTACTCAAATTGTAATTTCTTTACAGTAACGCGTCCTCTAAAGTGTTACTTAGTAACGCGTTACACCCAACACTGATGTTTTCAAATAAGATAAAGTAGGTTTTAGTCCGATTAGTTCACAACATTTTACTTTTACAAGACTTCCTGTTAAATGGATTATTTATGAGGAAAAAAGATACCCCGCCTTTAAATGTCTTGTGTGTATTCAGTGCTCTTGTTTATAGTAGTAATTTTAAGAAATGTAATTGTTTTTTTTTTTTGTACCATACATACCTCCTAACTTGTTTGCACCTAAAGCCAAACAAATTGTTACTCACAATGGCAAAAAAAAAAAAACATCTGAGTCTGTAATGTCACTTCACCAAACCTGGAGAAACTATTTCAAACAACTTTTTTTAAGTCAAGGAATTATAAGGATGTAGGAGGTATATTTCTTTCACATTTTGGATGCAGTCCCTCTCGTCTGTTTGCGGTAACAACACATCCAGCAGCACTGCATTCTGGGCCAGGAAATTGGGGTCAAAAAGTGATGACAGTGTCAACACGACCAACGTCTGTTTTTGGACACAATAGTCACTAAACTTTCACAAAACTCCAATAAAACAAAAAGTGGTATTTTGGGAGTTTAGGAACACTTCACTTTTACTGCTCCATCCTGACTACAACAGGAGAGAAGGAAAACATCATTTAAATTTGGGAAAATGTATCTCGTGTCTTTGGTCTTGTTGCCGGGCAGAAATATTAAGAATATTAATTAAAATGGTTCTGGGCAGCTGTGGCTACAATGGTTGTTTATCACCACCGTGTATGGAATGAATGAATATAATGTGTGTCCAAAAAAGCGCTATATATAAAACAGATTTATTATTATTTTTAATATTGAGATTCCAGATGGTATTTTTCCCGAATTGACAGTGAATTTTTTATTTCTATCAAAACAATACTAATAATTGGTGCACTGTAGCTTAGAACTCTAAAAAAACATTTTCAGTAACAAGGTAACATGTTTCATATGTGGCGCCACCTGCAGGTGAAAGCCAGATCCCAGACCTCTGAAGCAAAGAAGGCCAGAGCTTGGTAGAGGAGTTGAGCGAAAAATCACGTAATCATTAGTGCTGTTAATAAATGTGATCTTTTCTATTTCTTAAAGCTTGGTAACCTAATTATCAGACCACAAAACAGTACAACCACCAGTAACTAACTCACTAATTCCTTTAGCGCTTCATCATTATCAGTTTTGGGTCTATCATAGTTTTCTCGTTTATGTTTGGCCTCTGTCACATATTTATTCACAGGAAATTGAAAAAGACAGAACTAGCCTCAAAAAGAAACAGTGGCTCAGTGACTCACAGACACATATTGACCAACATGGATTATAGAACAACACACTCAAAATCAACAAGGCAAGCACCAGACATAACACGTTTTGGTTTGGAGAAAAAAATCCTTATTGACCCATGGACCAACTCTACTTGTACAAAATAGAAACTTCCTTGATCTTGGTCCATGTTGGAGCGAACCATGCATGTTTGAAACTGATGGATGTTTTTTCTTGTTTTTCAGAGCACTCAGATCGATCCAGAGGAGCTGTTTACCAAATTAGACAGAATCGGAAAAGGATCATTTGGAGAGGTACGTCATTGTTCATGCACATATAAAAAAAGCTTTGTTTTATTGCTTTTATGTCTGCTGCTGCACATTTATGACCAACAACTGTAGATTATTCCTTCAGATTCATTGAGCATCTCAGTCATTTATAGTAAATTTGTTGGCCACGATTATCATCTCTTGATCGGTCATAACGTTACATTGCAATATATGTATTATCTATATAGTTCTATACAATGGTCTCTTGTTTATTGAAGAGGTTACGTTCTGAGAATAACCCACAATAAACACAGTCCTTTAAGAGGCAGCTACATGTGTTAAGGCTTTAAAACCCCTCACCCCAAACTCTATACACTTTTCTAAGCCCCTGAACTCACCACTGCTGAAGATCGATCACAGAGCCATCCAACCTGTGGCTTGTAGGTCTGAGTGCTGCTGCAACTGTCGAAAGTCATGCATACACTGTAAAATACTGCGGTGAGAGGCCGGAGTAGATGTATTATGATAGAACCTTGAAAAATATCTTAATCAATTACTAACGAATTAGCAATGGCCCCAATCCCATCTGTATTTTCAGCCTTAAAAAATAAAGGTATTAACAAAGAAATTGTCTTCTAAAATTGTCAAAAAAAATTTTTTTATGAGTTCATAAAAATGCTTATTACTACTTTAAAGTTGTATTATAATCCGTAATTTCATTGAAAACTTGAGCTCATTGATTCAGCTGTGTATGAATTCAGGCCGTATATAAGTGCTGAGTAGAGCCTCAGCGTGACGCCCGCTCATCTCCAATCACAGAACAAGGCTGTGTCCTTTAGCCTCTACAGGGCTGCTAAACAAAAGCAGAATGGAGGCAAGAGAAGAGGGAACTAAATCTAAAAAATTATCAAAGAAGAAATCAAGCCCGTGTGAACATAGCTAGCTTACATTGTATCCTCTGGAGAGACCTGCTGGACCGCCTCGGACTATCTATGCTCGAACTACATTCGGACGCGAAACTAGTGGTAATCTTTCAGTTATATATTTTGTTAGCAGTGCGTTACTTTTGTACCATTTCATCAGTGATTGTTGTCGCAAATAAAACTAGATGGCTCCGTGGAATGAGAGCGTAGGGGAAATGAGAAGCCTGTGAACGAGTTGAGGGGCGGTGCTAAACATCAAACCTTGCAAAAACGGGTATAGCTCCTTTAATCAGCCATGGGCCAGTCAAATATGAAATAGAACCAGCCTCAGAAAACCCTTTAACAACACGGTTTCCAAGGTAATAGGTAACAAGAGTTTGTATGTTATACAAAAATGTTGATTTTATATCACTCTCTGCCATTACATTTCCATGGAACCTCAAAGTTCTACGGATAAAAATTCGACTGTGTGAGTGCAGGTGTTCAAAGGCATCGACAATCGCACCCAGAGCGTGGTGGCCATAAAGACCATCGACCTGGAAGAGGCGGAAGACGAGATCGAGGACATCCAGCAGGAGATCACCGTCCTCAGCCAGTGCGAGAGCCCCTACATCACCAAGTACTACGGCTCATACCTGAAGGTACTTTCGGTTTCTCTTCTTTGTGTGAACCACTCTGACCTGCGTGTATTATAGAAATACACTTGCCTTGTTCTGACCTAAACCATGACATTTCAACCATTTACAGGTATTTTAGTTTTTTTATTGTTGTATTCCATCTTTCTGTGAATAATTGTTTGTAATTCTGGTGCGTTTTTTAAAATAATAAATACATACAAATACAAATACATGCAATACATCCATCCATCCATTTTCTTCCGCTTCATCCGTTGCCGGGTCGCGGGGGCAGCAGTCTAAGCAGAGACGCCCAGACTTCCCTATCCACACACACTTCCTCCAGCTCGTCCGGGGGGACCCCAAGGCGTTCCCAGGCCAGCTGAGAGACATAGTCCCTCCAGCGTGTCCTGGGTCTTCCCCGGGGCCTCCTCCCGGTGGGACATCCCCGAAACACCTCCCCAGGGAGGCGTCTGGGAGGCATCCTGAACAGATGCCCAAACCACCTCAACTGGTTCCTCTCGACGTGAAGGAGCAGCGGCTCTACTCCGAGCTCCTCCCGTGTGACCGAGCTCCTCACCCTATCTCTAAGGGAGCGCCCAGCCACTCTGCGGAGGAAGCTCATTTCGACCGCTTGTATCCGCGATCTCGTTCTTTCGGTCATTACCCACAGCTCATGACCATAGGTGAGGGAGGGAACGAAGATTGACCGGTAAATCGAGAGCTTTGCCTTTTGGCTCAGCTCCCTCTTTACCACAACGGTCCGATACAGCGACCGCATCACTGCGCACGCTGCACCGATCCGTTTGTCAATCTCACACTCCATCCTTCCCTCACTCGTGAACAAGACCCCGAGATACTTGAACTCCTCCACTTGAGGAAGGACCTCTCCACCCACCTGGAGAGGGCAAGGCACCTTTTTCCGGTCGAGCACCATGGCCTCGGATTTGGAGGTGCTGATTCTCATCCCAGCCGCTTCACACTCGGCTGCAAACCGTGCAAACATGCAATACATACACATACAAATACATGCAATACATACAAATTATGAGTAAGAAACAGTGCATGAGGCTGATTGAATGATTTAATGATTTTAATGTATTTTATTTCATTTTTAATCAATAAAGTATATATCTATCTATCTATCTTGAATTAATGACAATATCCAATTAATTTAGTGTTTTTCCTATTTGATCAGTTGTATTGTTCGTGCAGATTAAAGATTGGGTACTTTCTTTCCTCAAATTTTATGTATGTTTTTTCTTTACTTTTACCTATTCCTGTACAGCACTTTGGAAACTCTCTTGTTTAGGAACTTTGCTGTTTTAATAAAGGGGATTTGGATTTGCTTCTCACTGCAATTGGCTTAAATATTATGCAGTTACATATGTTTCTTACAATACAAAACTTTTATGACAAGAACTATCTAAAGCCAATTTGGGAGGAGGAAGATCGAGAGTCATTTTTCTCCAATTAAATTCTTTCTTTTTATGTTTTTTTCTACTTACAGGGCAGTAAACTATGGATCATTATGGAATATCTTGGAGGTGGCTCAGCTCTGGATTTGGTGAGAAATGTGTTATTGCTTCCAGAAGCTGCATTTGGGGAAGGGAGGCTGATGGGTCGTAGATAGTTGAGTTTACACAGACGGCTCCGCAACAAATTCTTTCCTCAGGCATTTAAAAAAAATCACAAATCCTGAATCCAAACAAAACTTTCTGTGCTAGCTCAAAACATTGGTGGTTCAAAACATTATTTTCATTGGGAGACGATTGTGCAATGTCAAAATTTCAGGAGGAAAGTTCGCTGAGGTGTATGTAAACGTATGACCTTAACTGAATATTGTTGGTCTGATCTGGATTTTTCAAAGACTGTAACCAAACATTGTTTAGGTAAAAAGTTTTGCTCCAATTTGTACTGACTCCTATTGACTTCTGATTGTCTATGAATTTTCGTTTCGGTGACAGTAAATAGGACTTATAGCTTTAGAAAGTCAGCTTCAGCTAGCTAGAGGGTTCTCGAGGTATCCAAGTATACTTCCCAGCCAGCGACTTTACTATTCACCAACCATTATTTCTTTTAAATTTCAAAGATTTCAATGGTAAAATTGGTTTAAATAAGACAATATGGACAAATTGCTGATGATGCGTTAATGGTTTTGGTCTAGAAAGCAGGTGAATGCACTATAACTATAATTATTAAATAGAATTGAAGTCTGGAGTGTAGAGTTTGGGTTCTATACAAAATATGGTCTGGACAATGTTTTTAGTCAATCAGGAAATTCTTTGGTCGATACCAGCTCTAGTTTACATAATTATAAACTTGGCTAATGCAAACTGCAGAGAACTTTCTGGAATAACACTTGTTGGCATCACATGACGGAACGAGTCTTGATAGGGAGAAGCCACCGACTCAACATTTAACTCGTTGACTGCCAGCCGGTTTCTAAAATTTCACTGATTTTCGAGACCCATAGAATATTGTCTGCTATAACTCTACAAATTACGAAACCATATTCTGAAAGACTGGACTGTCTACTTTCATCAGCAAAAATAAGTTGGTTTCTAGCTTGTTTTGTTCTCCAGTAATCCCCAGTCGAATTGAGGGAAGTTTGACAGAAATCTCCCGTCTCAGACAAATACGTCAATGGCAGTCATTTAGTTAAGTAAAACCCAGCCCCAGCCCATCTTGACATTTCACCTTGTTTGCGTTTTATGAAAGATGAATATTGTTTTGAGGCGGCAGCTTGGATGAGACTCAACACATTTGAATGAAGTCTCTGTCAAGCCTGTTCTTGTTCGTTACGATTTCACATCTGAACTCAAAGAGCCTGTGGCATATTGCGTTCTATTGATTTACACAAGACTTCACAAAGGACAATTGCATAAGTTCTCCTCTTGATACAAACCGTTTTATTTCAGTTGCGAGCCGGCCCGTTTGATGAAACGCAGATTGCCACGATGCTGAAGGAGATTCTGAAGGGACTGGACTACTTGCACTCAGAGAGGAAGATCCACCGGGACATCAAAGGTACCGAACAGGTCACTCCGCTGTGCCATGGAATCAGCACAGGAGCACACCAGACTCTACACATTTCCTCAAGTTTGAGACTGGACTCACTTAAGGAATTGCGTGTAGTCTGTGTGCTCCTGCTTGGTTTGAATGAAAACCTGCAGCCACACCAGCGCTTTCTGATCGGTTTGTCACTCCTGGTATAAATGGTACTTACTCACTAAAGTCATGCAAAAGGGACACATAAAACTCCCACCTCTCTGTGACCAAAGGCAGAAACCCATAAAATACACAAGTTACGACTGTAACTATGGTTCTGTGAGTCCTGGATTATCGCTAGCTCTGGTGTTCAGGAAGCTGGGAGCATCTTATTTTTCACTTTTAAAATTGTGCTGTGCTTTGGTCATAACTGATCTCAGAAGGTAAACCGTGTCATCCTGTTTCATAATTGGATGGGAGTCATCAGGAATTCCAGGTTCCAAAAGGTCAAAACTGTCACAAGAGACCTGCTAATATTTCCTTTTATGAATCTGGTCTGAGTCCTCTTTGCTGGTTGGAAGACCGTGTGGGGCCCCTTTGGGCAGTCTGGTAGTTTACCACCACTGTGAATGGAGGAAATATAATAAAATAAATAAAAGTGTCTTTATGAGAAAGGTGCTGTATAAATAGATTTACCGCTTCTTGGAAAAGGGCCTTTCTAAGTGGAGTTTCCACATTCTCCCTGTGTAAGTTTCCTCTGGGTGCTCCGGTGTCCCTCAGAACTAAAAACATAATAATACAATAATAAAAATCCTTCAGCGCTGATCCTCCTGACCATAGACTGTAAAACCAAGAGCATCCGCATCTGGCGCTGGGTCCTAGAGTCCGCCAACTGATGACCACCGCTCCTAATTATATATTATTTTGTACTTTTCTTCTTCCCTTCTCTTCTTCTCCCTTGTGTGTCTTAATGCTGTGTTTTTACTCCACAGCGGCGAACGTTCTTCTGTCGGAGCACGGGCAGGTGAAGCTGGCAGACTTCGGAGTGGCCGGTCAGCTCACAGACACTCAGATCAAGAGGGAGACGTTTGTGGGGACGCCCTTCTGGATGGCCCCAGAGGTCATCCAGCAGTCTGCGTACGACTCCAAGGTGAGACCGCTGCCACACCGCTATAACTGCATTTAAAGTAAAGAATACTGTGTCTGCTGATCTTTAGGACCAGAGTTATGTCTCACTGTTGATATGAAATGATATTGTTTTTATTTTTGCCATGATGACTGTGAGAAGTTGGTAAATTAAAGTATTTGAGATTCAGAAGAAAAAAAAAAATGGAACAGCTTCGTTCAACAACTTTTAGTGGATTTAACCGGTTTTAAAAAGCTCTTAAAAGCATTTTTCTCCTTTGCATTACTGTTTAACCTGTTGACAACATTAAATGTATATTAAAGCTGGGGTACCTAACTTTTTAATCACAAAAAATGGCACAATGGAATAAAATCCATATGTTTTTAAAATCATCAAAAATAAGATGATGTCGTGGCTCTGATTTCTCCACAACATTTCCTGTAGTGACAAACAAGATATATCATTTATTTATGATTTTTAGGTACCCCAGCTTTAATCTTGAAATGAACTACTTTTGCTTCAGAGTCTGATTTCTACCAGAGAAGTGACATCATGTCCCTTTGTGCATTTGGCTCGTCAGTATTTGCATGTTCTTCCTTCGTCACCATGCTCTTGATTTGCATTCAGTAAAACCTACAACATACAAAACTTTAAAGCTGGGGTACCTGACTTTCTGCACAAACACAGTTTGTGCAGAAAGGAGTCTATTACAGTGATATGCTCTGAACAAATCAGACCGCAACAAAATTATGTTAGTGCCAAATGAACCAACTCCGACTCTTAAAGAGCACGGTCCAAGAGTCCGGAGTAAACACAGGGCGCCAGCGTTTCAGATTTATGCAGCTAAAATACAGACAGTCTTCCTGAAAATGTGAGACAGGCCCTTACTCTAACAATGATTAAATCCAGATTAAAGGCAGTTCTTTTTTGCTGCGCACACAACTGAAGGTTTGTCTAGTTTGTTTTGTTGAGCTTTGAGTTGCTTTGTGTATGAACTGCTCTATACCAATAAACTTACCTTGTCTACCCGTTCATTAGACCAGGGGTTCCCAAAGTTTTTAGCCCGCGACCCCCATCATAAATGCGCTGCTCCCCCGCGACCCCCCACCTCAACAGTCCTTCCCGTCAATGAGCATGTATTTCCTTGATACGGAGTAACGCAGAGACTCGCGCCACTACTGATCTTCTGTCCAGCCCAAAAAAGGAGGCTAGTGTATTTTTACTCACGTAGCGACACAGTGATGGGCTTGGTGGGCTCCCTCCTCAGCAGAAGTGGAGCGCATTTCTTGCGGCTCGCCCTCACTGTTCTCATACCGCGGTAAAGTGGCCCGGCTTTTCGGAGTCAGCGGTAAAGTGGTCCGCACATTAAAAGCGGGCGGCCGCTTTCTGCTGTTACTTTATGCGCTTCATCCCCGCGGCTTCTTTTTCCAAAGTTACTGTAAGTAACAGCATACAGCTGCCCCCGCTTTTAATGTGCGGACCTCTTTACCACTGACTCCGAAAAGCCGGGCCTCTTTACCACCCTTCTACCGCTGCCCTCTCTCCCTCCGCTGCCCTCTCTCCCTCCGCTGCCCTCTCTCCCTCTCTCCCTCCGCTGCCCTCTGCCCTCTCTCCCTCCGCTGCCCTCTCTCCCTCTCTCCCTCCGCTGCCCTCTCTCCCTCCGCTGCCCTCTCTCCCTCCGCTGCCTTCTCTCCCTCCGCTGCCTTCTCTCCCTCCGCTGCCCTCTCTCCCTCTCTTCGCACCATCAGCCTGACCTCACATGTGACTTTTCTCTCCCTCCGGGTTTTTCTGTTGTGGATATTAACCACGTTTCATTTTAAAGCAGGTATTATTTGTTTGTAGCCTCCAAACACCTTTAGTTTTAGCAAACAGCAGCTGGACACGCTTTGTCGCTGCGTGACGTAAGCTGCGTAACTTGATTTTGATTGACGCTGTCAATGACTGGACAAAATTACAAACTTAATTTAAATATTTTATATTCTCCTAACACAATTTAACAAGTAGTCCTTTTGAATCAAATCAAATGCTAAAACAATATTTAAGGGCTATTAATTTGCTTAATTTTTTTTTTTTTAGAAATCATCTTGCGACCCCCCCCAGGGGTTCCCGCGACCCCCCGGGGGGTCGGGACCCCCACTTTGGGAACCACTGCATTAGACAACAATGTAATCATATGCGGATAAGATATGTTAGACTTTAATGATCTCACAATGCAAACATGTTAAAGGTGAAAAAGTTAGAATTATAGCCCGTGCAGGTTATAATTATGTACAACAACAGCAAAACAAAAAAGGGGGCTTTGGGCTGAGAGATGATTGGCTGAGTGAGGGTGGTCCTCTCTTTTATTCACTTTTCTGTCTGAAAAAACAACTAAAGACGTAAGAGAAGCCAAAAATACTTGCATACAGTATGACAACTAGTGATAGAACCGGTTTCTGCATGAACTTTGACTACATAGTTTCATACACATTTGTTATGCGTTCAAAATTCCTGCTCCTATATTCCACTTTGGCCTGTGAATTATAAACGCGCTCTGTCCCTTTAAAAGATGAAGTGCTCAGGTGCGCCGCAGTCACCATCTGCTCCGAGTCAAACTGTCAAACGTCAGTGTAACGTGAGCCTCCTCCGCCACTGTACCGCCTTTGTCTGGGAGAGATGAGACACATGGCAAACAGGCGAGTCGTGACCTGATACTAAATGTGTCTGCCGTGTGGGGTCGTGGTCGCGGTGATGGCTGAAGCAATAACACTCCAACGTCTTTAACTATAGTATAATGATGCAGTTAAAGCTGGGGTACCTGACTTTCATACCACAATGTCATCTGAGGGAAATGAACTCCTTTTATAACATCCATTTGATTAGTTCCTCACTTACTAGTCTTCACCGACATGTGTCTTTAGATCAGCTTTTTCAGACCAAGACAGGACCACTCTCACTCAGCCATTCAGCTCTCAGCTCTGAGGTGTCGAATAGTGACTAATTGGGCTATTTTCTTTACAAGTATTCACAATGTGTTTCAATAAGATCAAGACCGCATGTTACTGTTTGAAATGATCATGCAATGTTACTTTTGACTTGCAAGTTGTTATTGTGATAAAAACAAAGGTTCGGTTCCCAAGTTTTGAATACGCTTTATGAATACGAGCTTTCAAAACATGGAGGATTTTTTCATTTATTTCATTTGTTTATTTCTTTCAAACTTGCACGAGATACACAAACAATTATTCACCGAAAAATTATAATAATAAGAGTAAACTAGAAACAAAAAGTTTATAGATGATCATTTGAAACTTTAAAAAAAGCCAATATTTATCTAAAAAAATTCACTAAAAGAGATTTCATGATTTAAATCTGTAAGTATATGCCTTTTAGTATACTAGGTCATCACATCAAAGTACCGACATGGCAGCAGGTCACAGTATGCAGTGCCTTTTTCTACCTGTTTCACTGACTTAAAACATCAAACTACAAAGTGACAGTGGGTGTGTCTGGGTGAATACTGGGATCGGATTGTTGGGTCGACGCCATTGTGAAGGAAGATTAAAGATTTCATGCATGAATCACTCGACGAGAACAAGTTTGAGTGGGAAAGGAGAAGGAAAACGTGGTTGCAAAGTCATCTTAAACGTACATTTATAGGTATTAGATGGATACTTTAGGAAGAAGAAATCAAGTGTCCAGCAGAAAGGCATCCATCCATACAAATATTAATAAATACATCATTCTAAAAGTTACTAAAAATAGTAATAAAATATGCATGTTTAACTCTAGACAGATGTTTTATGCAGTCTTAAAGCTGAACAAACAAAGGATATATTAAAAAATATAACGCAGTAATAGGTGGACCTCTGCTTGCAATCACAAAGGCGGCAATATTGAGGTACTTTCAATGTCATCCTGCCAACTTCAGCTCTGTATCTATTGCCATGCTTTACCACGTTGTGAAGCTCAAAGACTTTGGAATCCAGTTATTAACTTTTGATTTTGACTGTGTCACAAAACTCCACATAGAACATCCCGAATCCAGTCAAAACAGTTTTACGTGTTGCCGGCCCCTGGACTGGTCAGGTGAACTAAAGTGGGCCTCTTACGAAAAGAAAAGTTTGGACACCCCTGCACAAAGGCATCAGCTCAATACAGTATAATATTCCATTTCTATCCATGTTAAAGCTCCTGTACCCATTTCTCTTTTTCATGAATGATATTGTAGTTTGTCCAACAGAAAGAGTGAAAGTCAAAAGGGATTTATCAGACCACAATGTTCTGTACTTGTAAGAAGGAGCAAAAGAGCCCTGTGAGTCACTATTTGACGGTTGAGTGGTGATTGGTCGACCGAGGGTGGTCTTCTCGTTTTTTCATTTATTTCCTGAAGAAGCTGATCTGTGTTTGCGACAGAGGTCCAAAAACACATGAAAACTAGTGATGGAACTGTTGTGAGGAACTAGTTACGTGTGTTTTATTGCATAGATTCATTACTGTAGTTGAAAGTTAGTTACCCCAGCTTTAATTGAAAATAATTGAAACCAAAAAACGTACCATGACTGTCATATACGAGATAAGTCTGTGTGTCTTAATAGTAATGATAATGAAAAGCCACAAACACGGCAGCGCTCAGGTTTGGACTTTTATGCCGTAACTCCAGATTCCACCCTGCGTCCTGAACATGCCCGGTACAAACTGTTATCACAGGGATTTCAGGTTTCTGCTTAAACAAACGAGCGCGGACTCTACCCCCACAGCCCGAAGGAGGGCAGCGTACGATAACAAACCTGACCTCGGCATCACAGAGGAAAGGGGGGGCCACTGGGAAAGTCATCCAGGACAGAGCAATTCGTACATTTGGGAAAATTATGGTGCTTCTAGTTTAAAATACATTCTTTACCTACAGGGATGCACTATCACAATCAAATAAAAATCTCTATTCTTTTTGTGTGGTTTCAGCTTCTGCAATTAGACTGCAATTATTATTTTGAAAATGGATTAAAGATAAGCTCATGATTCAAGTGTATTTTAAAGCTTCGTTAATGGAACAGCTAAGTATCTTTTTACATGTATTTGTTGGGCAGGAGCACAATTTCTATAATGTAGATTATGAAATGTGGATTTATTGGTTCCTTTCAAACCTGAAGATATAAAAAAAATATGTATGAATAAATTAACAGGATACAAAATAAACAAATACAGTTTGAAAAGGGGGTTGACGAAGCTGAGACTAATTTTTTCTCCAACTCCTCCCACTCATTCAACACAAGGCAAAGCAAGTTTATTAATTTAGCACAATTCATACACAAGGCAATTCAAAGTGCTGAACAAAATAAGAAAGCATTAAAATCATAAATAATCACAGAACATTAAAAAGAAAGATAAAAATATATATATTTTTAAAAAGTTGTATGCACAGCTAAACAGAACTGTCTTACACAGAAACGCGCACACACAGAAACGCACACACACAGAAGCGCACAGAAACGCCCACACACATATACACAAAAGCGCACACAAAGAAACACACACACAGACATTCTGAAACTTGCTAGTTCCATTGACAAATCTTCAAAATAAGCTCAAATAAAATTCTTTCCTGCACCTCTGTCCTCAGGCTGACATCTGGTCCTTGGGCATCACCGCCATCGAGTTGGCCAAAGGAGAACCTCCAAACTCGGAGATGCACCCCATGAGAGTCCTGTTCCACATCCCCAAAGCCTCCCCGCCCACTCTCCACGGCGACTTCTCCAAGAGCTTCAAAGACTTCACAGAGTCCTGCCTCAACAAGGACCCCGCATTTGTGAGCAACCCTTTGATCTCATTCAGGCGTGTGACGCTACTACGGAAGTGCAGGGAATTACATGCCCAGAATTATGGTTCCAAGCAATAACAACTAGCTTAAAGGTGATGTCAGCTACTACAATTTGGATTATACACTGTACTATTATGTATAATAGTACAGTAATAATAATATATTACTATAATATTATCCTACAATTATATATTTAAAGCAGTCCCTCTCTTTGGCATTACTACAAACGGTAACATTTGCTGCAGGAGAATATTTAAACCAATGACAAGGGGAGTCAAGGATTTTAATTATTTTGGACCAATCGGGAAACTGCTGTGGTATGCGTGGGCGGGTTTATATCTGTTACAAGACCCGGTGATCCAAGATGGCGTCCTCTTCAAATGAATGGCTTGTGCTCAGTAGAGCATGGGACATACAGGGGGACCGAAAGATTAGCAGAACTTGCCATTATTTTGGCATCATCTGGTCCTCCCGGTTCTGCGCAGTGGACAAGCTCCCATGATGCATTGCGCCAAATACGCGTGTGTGGCTCTCTTGCACGTGCAGAGAGGAGCTCGGCCGCGCTCTGACCAATCAGAGCTGCTGATCAGAGCAGGAGTTAGAGCGGAGTCAGAGTGGGTAGGAAAACAGCAGAGTTTGTGGCAGTAAAGTGTGGATTTAAAGAAAACAAAAAAAAAAGTTCAGGATGACAAGGGACACAAAAATCCCCACAAAATCCAATCTTTACGAAAGCTGTAGTTTCTCTGTCAGCTGAGGTCGAGCTGTTTTAATTTACTTTTAGTTCTATGTGACTGGGTAGCCCTTGTGAATTTAGTCTGCAGTACCACGGGCGCCCCCTGTTCCCATGGGTGGGACACTATGCTAGTAATACCCTATCCAATTATTATTATAGATCCAAGCTCTGTTACCACAAAGTAACTGACCCTCACTTTAAGCTAAACATGTGTTTTTTTATATGAAAACTTAATTACATAAACTTATTTGAGATCTGTCCCATTTACTGTATTAAATGATTATAAAAATGATCGCTAAACCTCATAGACTGCATAAATCTCATATATATTTAAGTTTGTTTAGGCCGCAAAGTAGCCGTACACTTTCTATACAACATAAACAACCTCTTGCATTTTTCTCCTTTTTTTATTTGTTATTGATTTTAGTTGTCCTCTATCTCTTATCACATGTCAGGGCTTTACCTTTTGTCTGTCTGATATTACATTTATGAAAACAAAAATATTGTCTAAAAGTTAAATTTGTACTTTTTAAGTTTTTAGACTAAAGATAAAACTAATATACTTTATAATTTCATCAATAATCCCCCAATATATGGTCTGAAAGGTTATTACCACATCATTGCTCCACATATTAGCCCCGTTCCATTTGAATTGCTCCCGAGTGCTGCCCCCTGCTGGACATATCATTTCTCAATGGAAAATATAAATGACTACCTTTTTAAGCAACATGAACATTTTATATTTAAAGGAACAATGTGCAATATACCCTCATATATTTTATTATAATTTAAAATCCAACTTTTGTAGCCAGAATCTTCCCTTTCTGTGACACATGTAGCTCCTAAGCACTGATTACAAAAACATCACACATATTTGTATGACATTTATATTTGTATGACATTTATATTTATATGAAACCAGCCTTTTTCTGCTCCCTGATTGGATGATCTCTAACCATAATATTATTAACATCACGTGTATTTTTGATACTTTATTGAAACACTATCCCTTTAAATTGCGCGTGTAATCCTGATTGTATTGTTGTTGTTTTTAGCGTCCCACCGCCAAAGAGCTGCTGAAGCACAGGTTCATCACAAAGAACTGTAAAAAGACGTCGTATTTGAGTGAACTGATCGACCGCTACCGGAGGTGGAAGGAGGAGGGCCACAGCGAGAGCAGCTCAGACGACTCCGACAGGTAAAAAAAAAACACAAACACAATCATGATCAGACTAAGTTGCACCCTGACCATGTTCAAAACTAGGTTGAAAACAAATCAGTTTAACAGCACTTACCACTGATTCTGTTTTGTTCTGTTTTGCTTTGATCTCTCATTTCAAACCCACATTTTAACAACCGTTTTAAACCCAAAACTTTTATGCTGCGCTTTTTTACTATGAATTTATTGTATATTTCATTTCCTTTTTTATGCATATTGATCTGTGTTATTGAATTACAAAAGATTCATTGATTGATACATTTTTTGGATTTTTTTATTTGACCCAATCTGTATCCATATAAAGTGCTGGATCTAGATGATTCCATAAATATATCATCCAATGTCTTTCAGTGAATCCAGCAACAAAGAGAACAGCCAGTCGCCGGATTGGTCCTTCACCACCGTGCGGAAGAAGAAACCCAAAGGCATCACCGTCGTCAACGGCCCGGTCAGAACACATGTTTATTACCATCTCTGCATGACGTCAGAATCACTACTGTACGACGATCGTGAGGAGAGGTGTTTTATTATATCAGCTGACCTAATCTGTAATCTTGTATCTGTGTTATCGCTTCAGGCTCAGGAGCAGCTGAATAAATCGGCCAGTCTCACCACCGTCATCTCTCCGGTCTTCACTGAGGTCGGTGACACTTTTTGAGTTTTGTTGTATTTGAGTCATCTGATGGTAGCAGCGGTGCACAAAGCCAAACTATAATAAATATATATATACAAAGATATTATTAATGCTTTCCTCCCTGCTTCTGTCAGACTGTACAACGAGAACTGCTGAGTCTACACGCATCACTAACCTGCCTCCGTCACTTAACCCGTTATTGTTGTTATTATTACTACATTATTACTTATCCATTCATCTGATATTTCTGTCATTCACTAGTCACTTCACCTGCTGCTATTATTACTATTGTATAATTATATTCTCTGCTGCTAAAATACAATATACGTAATATACAGATTTTATTGTATTTTATTATCTAATTACTTATTATTTTAATTGTATTATCTATCAACTTTTTAGACAGAGCTAAGTTGATCATGAAATTCTACATCTTGCAGTCTTCTTGGCTGACGGCCTTCCATTGCTTTTGCCAAGTGTCTATCTGTGCCTTTCTGTGTTCACTGTAATGATATTTTTGACTTGATTAAAGCTGGGGTACCTAACTTTCAAACCACAAGCCCTATGGTTCCCAGCTCTTTCAAAAAAAAAAAAATTGGTTCCAAATTCCAATTTTTTGAAAAACGGTTTTGATTGGATTTGGTGAAGCAAACACTAACAGGGGTGTCCAAACTTTTTAGTAAGAGGGCCACTTTAGTCCACCAGACTAGTCTAGGGGCCGACTTCACGGACTGAAAAACTGTCTTGACTGACATCGGGCTGTTCTGAGCTTTATGATGATCAGACAGCTGAAGTTGGCTGAATGACAAATTTGTACCATCTCACCAGCTACAGTAGCATCATTAACGGAAGTGACACAATTATAAATCACGTCAGTACAGTATGTGCAAATTAAGTCAACAACGTACTGGGCTTTAGAACAAGGTCTATATTGGCTGAGCTGAAGTTGGATGGATGACTCAGTGAACATCCATCCAACAGTGTGTTTATGATCTCAAAGACTGCTTTGGGTCAGAAAGGCAGAAGGCCACATCAAATGACACACAGGGCCGCATTTGGCTCCCGGGCCTGAGTTTGGACATGCCTGCACTAACCCATCCAGCCCAGCAACAACAGTAACACAATACAATACAATATCACATAGTAGCATACAAGACACAGACAGGACACCGGCCCAAACACTCTCTGAGCCAACACCTCTCTCTTTAATGGACATTTATAAACATTTTTGGACATTGGTCATCTGCCTCTTATTGACCAATGGCTCTATTCACCGTTTTTTGTAACATCCTCCGTGATAACAACTGTTGTGATTTAGGTCTACATTGACTTTTATTGTCCTGTGTGCAGTTGAAGCAGCAGCACAAGGAGCAGTCGGAGCAGCGGCTGGCCATCGAGGAGCTGGAGAGGAACATCCGATTGGCCGAAGACGTGTGTCCAGGGATCACCGACAGGATGGTCTCGCGCATTCTCGCCAGGTACGAGTCCGAACGGTCAAATAGGGACATGTCCTGCAGACTATAGGGATGTACCAGTATTAAGCTGAGCCATGTGTGTGTTTCATTTATCCGTATTTGTGCAGGGAGAGGCTAGACTCTTTCATGGACGCCCTGTTTAAACATACACAAATACAAAGCAACAAAACACACAGACTACAATCATTAAAGACGGATAAAACACAGTTATGATTATGAAATGATGGAACCAAATTATTAAAATGTGAAAGTAGAGCCAGCTTGTGTCATTTGTTGCGTTCTAATAAGACCTCTATACAGTGAATTCATTATTAAAACCATGTTGTCTTGCTTCTGTCAGTGTGCCCCAGGGCAGCTGTGGCTACAAATGTGGCTTTTGAGTGCCCAAATAAGCGCTATATAAAACAAATTCATTATTATCATTATTAATCTGTCTGAAAGCGAATGCCTACCTATGTTTTCAAAGTTACAGTAGAGTTTTTGAACCAGTTATCAAAAAATATACTTTTATATATCCAATCGTTAACCCTGTATATTTGATCTTTTCCTTTTTCAGATTCACAAACAACTGATCCCATTGGAGCGTTTAAGAACTGTCTGTTCGGGGAAAACTTTGGAGACTTTGCTGTGCGATGTCTCCTGCGGCTGTACACACTTTATATATATATAAATATATTTCTATTTAATCTCTGCTGCTGGTTTATCTAACTGGGACTCTTATTATACAAACTAAAACGACAAAAAGTACTTTACATTTTCCTTATTTATATTTAAGAATTGAAGCTGGAGATTTTTGTATTGCTGCCAACGGAGTATGATTACATTTCATCTGTGCTACAACCATAGACTGTGTATAGATGGACAATGCTAACCCAAAGTTAGACAAAGTTTTGCTCCAACTTGCTCCAATATGATCGACCAATCAGATGGCTTCATTCACAGGAAGCAGATTGCCTTGTCAAACATAATATTTATGTTCGTAATTTTCAAGCAGATTATCCAATCAGAGAGCAGAATAAGGTTATAATTTGTAGGTGAAATTTAGCTGGTTTTTGCTATTATCTTTTTAGTTTTGTTGCCTTTGCCACCTTAGCAACCCGCTTTAGCAAACATGTGAGCAACACATCAGTCCCTGTTATGGCGTGAAGCTAACGCAGTCGGAACAAATGCCCATATAAGGAAATTGGTTACAGCTAGCTTATGGTCAGTCCACTCCTAAAATACAGTCTATGGCCACAACTTTTTCACATTTCGACCATATTTCTTTTCTACTTGTTTTTATTTCCCATATTTTATCTACTTATTTGTAACACACAATCACCATTTGACCTTTTTGAGTCACTGCAAATACATTTTACATTCTTTAACATATGTGAAAACACAATCATTGGACATAATTGCCAACTTGGAAATCTCAATTCCTAAATTTTTTTGACCTAATACATTGTGGATACTTATATTTTCTATATGCACAGCTTCTGTTGATACTCTGTTGGCCTCTTCCACATAAGGACTTGAGTTTTGACTTGAAACTATGAAAAGTGCCTTAAATGTGTGGTTTTTTCTGCTGTAGATGCTTTTATTTTGAAAGGGGGGTCCCGTCCTCATGGGAGCTTCCTGTCTGTGTCATGTCACTCAATAGATGCCAATAACATTTTTCTTGTAAATGAAAATCAAACTTCGGTGTGTTCTTTTCTGCTGATGTATCCAGGGCCGGAGAATGGATTTGACCTTTCACTGAAATGGGTTATTTGTATAGCACAATTCATAAATGGTTTTCGGTGCATCGTTATTTAAACAGGGACAGTGTAACCACGGGCAACTCATTTAGAATTTACAAAACAAGAAGCGGTAAAATCCTAAACTACTACAAAGAATGTACAGATGAAACTCTGAAACTTAGAATGTGCAACTAATAAATGAAAGACTCATTACATACAAAGTGAGATGTATCGAGCCCATCCATCCACTCATTTTCTTCTGCTTTTTCCGCTGTGAGATGCAGGGGTAGCAGTCTAAGCACAGACGCCCAGACTTCCCTGTCCACACACACTTCCTCCAGCGTTCCCAGGCCAGCTGAGAGACTTGGTCCCTCCATCTTGTCCTGGGTGTACTCCCGTTGGGACGTTTCCGGAACAGCCTCCCAGAGAGGTGTCCAGGATGCATCCAAAACCGATCCCCGAGCCACTTCAACTGCTTCGTCCCGACTTGGAGAAGCAGCAAGCCTTTATTTATTATAATGTTGACATTTGGTTCAGAAGATTATATTATTTTGAAAATGGACTGTAAGACATTATCATCAACATTATAACAAACAAACTTGCCATATGTCACTTTGTAATGAGTCTATCATATATTGGTATCATATTTTAAGTTTATTTTCCAACAATATTCTAATCTTAAGAGTTTCTCCTGTATGTTGTAGTCGTATTTGTCAAATTCTTAAATATAATTACACATTTTGTATGTTTTTCTGTAGTTAGTAGTAAAATCAGTCCAAACGATTTATTCCTTAACTTGTTTTTTGGTGGATTGAATCCATACTTATAGAGTCAAGGCTCAATTCCAGTTTGCCTGAGCAGTGTGGACTTCTATGTTTACATTTTTATACAAATCATTTCAAACCTCATTGTTGAATCCCAGATGGTGGAGTGACGTGAATCCAATTTTGTCCAGACCTAAGATCACGGTCTTCTGAAAAGTCCGGTCTTCTAGAAAATGAAGTCGAAAAGCCCTGGTTTGTGTCAGCTGTGCCAACACTGGGAGAATTCTGTTCCTACTTGTCAGAACAACGTCAACATGGAACATTCCAAAAGTCCTCATTAATGACTGGAAATCAACATTAAAAAAGGGACAATTTGACCGATTTAGTTTTTATACATAAAATTCATTGCATTTTCAAAACCGTTGAATTGTCACTTCTCGAGGCCCCCTGCTTTTGAGCCCCCTATGCCGCAGCCCACGTAGCCTCCTCTTCTATTCCGGCCCTGGATGCATCAGTTAATAGTTAGAAAGTGTATATGACAAATTAAGATACGAAAGAATATGTAATTGGTTGACTTTCTTCATTGATTTAATTGTGCAAATGCTTATCATTCCATTGGCCATAACATTATGACTAGAAATCTTAATTTGCTTTTGGGATTTTAGGTTTTTTTGGGGCTTTAATTTACAAAACAAATGTGTTTTTTTTTCTTTTGTCCTATAGGGCCGAAAAACATGTATTTGAATCATTATACATGTGTTTTATTCAACTCACTGTATCGTATCCTATCCAAAAGTCCGCATTAGCCTGTGTCAAGTGAAATGCATAAATGATCGCCTTGTCATAATGTTACAGCCGATTTATCGAATAATACAAACATTGCATTCAGTTGATGCAGATTGCGATTTAAAAAGCAATGTCAAAGTGCTGTGTTGTCATGCATAATGGTACATGTAAATTAGAAATACAAGGAAAGTATAGGATTTTAATGTTTTTACCAAAGACACTATAGTAACCATTGTACATGTCTGTGTTTTTTATTCTTCATAAGGGATTGGACTAGTTTTGAGGGAGGGTCTCACGTGTTTTGTAGAGGGATGTTGAAGTTTATGAATAAATATTTAAGTTTGATTGGAATCTGTGTTGTTTGTTCATTATCATTGTACTATTTAAATGTATTTGTATAACTTTTTTTGACATTTGGAGAAGACTTTGTCGAGTGAAAAGTCAGTTTTAGTTCCTGGGCGGATAATCTTGCAGAACAAAGTTTAGTGCAACACATCTTTTGGTTTTGTACATATTTTATTGGAAGAACAATTATAAATAGCCGTTACAATGTCACCAATGAAGCAACATTACAAAAACATGTTCTCACAGACTAAAAGCACTCGCAGCACGTGTTGTACAGTTTACAGGTGAAACTTAGGATCTTAGGAAATTATCATTTATTTCTGTAATTCATTGATTCATTACAAAGTGATTTATACCAAGCCTTTGTTATAATTTTGAGGATTGTGGCTTACGGTCCATTTGAAATACAATTAAATCAAGTGTTCTTATATTTTTGATTTCACAAACTGTGATCCAATTATCAACATAACAAATAGAGGCTTGGTATATCTCACATCAGGGTATTAGGTTCACCTTGTAAGTTGAATCACAGAAATATATTGACTGTAGAAACAAAATCATAATTTTGAGTTTCACCGGTACGGCCAGAGAAGTCCTATGTTACAGTGGTGATCATGAGGTAGGCTTTGTCCATAGTTCAAGTACAAAAATCACCTTAAATCAAACATCAAATTACTATAGAAAGTAATTATGTATCTCTCAGTCTAGTGGTAGCTTTAGTGATGTAGCTCTCTTTGGAGCTTTTATCCATGTTAGTTTTCCCACTGAGGCTAAATCTGCCAGAACTTGTTGTTTTTGTTATCGCACACGGGGTAAAACGTAACAATTTGGACCATCACTGCGGCCAAAATGCATTTTCTACAATTGTATGGTTCATCATTGCTTCATACATGGTTTGGCTGACAGCAGCAGTTCCCAAAGTCTGGACCCCACATATCAAATCCCATAATTCATTGAAAAATATAATGCTTTTCCCTTTAAATCTAGACCAAATTACAGAAATATACAAGCTGTCATAATTAGCATAATTATTGCACTATAATTAAAAAATCTTTAAATTGTAATTACTGGTTGAGTGAACAGTCTTAGGGTGGCTCTGGACAGCACACATTGCCCCAAACAGAAACACAGAAATACGATTTTCTGATATGTTATTTCCACTGTCTCCAGGAGGTGGCAGTGTGGCTGACTATCATTTTTGGTGCATTCTCCATCAGCTTGTTTCAGAGCCAAATCTTCTTCTTATCCTAAGCAACTTCCACAAATTCTTAACAAAACAAACAAACCAGTCTATTTAATGTTTTGGCCATTCAAGTAAGTTATCTGGCATAAACAATGTATTTTCAAACAACTCCATTCACGATTCATTCTCATTTTCACAAGATCACTGTGAGTAGTCTGGGTTACTCTTCAGAGTATGTAGAGCATACAACTGTTATTTAATCTGCATATTCCGTGTTCAAAACGCTCACACACCAACAACATAATAGAAAATATATTTATACATATATATTTTGTCCACTACAGACGAAAACAGTTTGACGACTTTATCAGCCAATAGCCAACAACCCTCATTCTGATTTGAAAAGGTTAACTTTGTCTTGTGGAGTTGAAATATGTTTTTGTTAGATACATTTTCTTGCTAATATGTTTGCAGAGCTGCGAGCCATCTTCAGAACTTTCACTGCCTTTGTCATGTGTCCACTGATCCACTGATCCTTCCTGAGTTACTAGATCAAGGAGGCGAGTGAAATCAGAAAGAGCGAAACAACAGCATCAACCGAGACGAGGGAGCCTTCCACCTGCCGCACACATGGGACACCCTCCTCCAGAGACCACCGGGCGAGAGGGGGCGTGGTCAGCCTGAGCATCTTGTCAGGTAAATCAGGCTGACCACGCCTACTCAGGAAGTAACATCGGCCAATAAATGACACGTCACCGAGGCTAATAACAATGTCATGTTCTAACTTGTCTTTCAAAAGAACCACACAAAACATTACTATCACCCGTTTCATTCACTTTAAACTGACCCCCTATCCCATTCACAAAGTTATCTTGGTAATTTTAGCTGCTCCTTTGCCTCCTTCTTTTCTCTCCACTTCAATCTTCAACTCTTTTTTACTTTTTACCTCTTCCTCCTCTTCCTCTTCTTCCTCCTCGTCGAGCTGCAAGCTTCCGGACGAAAACCGCATCCGTGCCAACCCAGCCGCGGACGCTCTCCCCATGTTCCCCAAAGCGGGCTGCGGCAAGTAATACGGATAAAACACTTCCTGCTCCGTGTCGCTGTAGCTTCCGGTCGCGCTGCTGAACACACACATGGAAGCCGGTCTCTCTGGCAACGGCGAGGAATTCAACGGCAAATACGTGGGTCGCGTCGGTCTCGCCAAATGCGGGTAATATCCCAGCGGGCGAAATTCCGATGCCGGGTTTGTGCTTCTGGGAAAGGTAAACTTGACGTCCGGCTGGCTGGCTGCGCGACGCGGCAATCCAGGAAGAAATCTGCAATCGTCGCTGTAATGTCCCGCCTCAACTCCCACGCCTATAAACCTCCCCGCGCTGCTTCCCGGCGGGTACACGCGCGGTAGCCCCAATCCGCCGGTTCCGTGCGTGCGCAAGTTTCTCCGCGGCGTGGGCGAATCGTGCGCTAGCGGGTAATAAGTCTGACGTGCTTCTGCGGCGGTGAAGTCTCGTCTTTGAGGCTGAGTGAATCGCTCCAGAGACGAGACGTAATCGGAAAGATAGGGGAGGTTTGGGAGAGGCGCGGCCATCGGGAACGTCGGCAAAACCGGGTGGTACTGGTACGCCGGGTTGTTGGGGTATAAGAGAACCAGTCCTTGCGGAGCGTCTGGAGGCGGTTGCGGGTTCGGTCGTCGTCTGGAGCGATTGGCGTAGACCCCGGCGAGTCTCTGCGCTTGCCGGAGTTGGCCCACGCGTGCATGCTGCTTATGGTCCTCGGCGCCGGAGGTAGAGGCGCATCGCGGTTTCGGGGAGTGGTGGTGGTGGTAGAGGGACGGGGAGAGCGGGGTGACCTGGGTGAACGGTCGGAACCCCTGCGAGACTTCGGCGGAGGAGTGGCTGCGCTTGGCCAGGCCGTTGGAGTCCAGGGTTGAGTCGAATTCCATGTTTTGAAGATGGCGGCGATGAGGGTCCAGCTCGGTGTCGCTCTGAACGGCCAAGACGCCAGAAGACGGAGGGAAGAGAAAGGAGTGTTCGAAGATCTGTGGAGAGAAATAGGAGATGTAGACGGAACATCAAGCTTTGAGAACAGAATCTTGATAATGTTTACTTTGGTGTTTACAATTTTAGAGCGCCAAATTTCATAAAAAATCATTAAAAGTATATGGAAAACCTTAAACATTGTCTAAAAGATGACTAGATGAGAGCCAAAGAGCCATTTTGGCACAAATTAAAAGCTGATCTCACAGCAGTGATGTATTGTTATAATGTCTCTAGGGTGACATACTGTTAAAAGGATAGTCATTGAATAATATACAGTAGATATATAAATTTGCTTTTCAACAACAAAGAATTTACCTTGTTCTAAATTTAAATGCATTGGGAAAAACATGTTATGTCCCCAGGTCAACCCATGGATATATTATAATAACTGGATAGGGTATTACTGGCTTGGAGCTGAAGAACTCTTGTGCTCGGGGGATTCTCGCGGTACTGCAGACTAAATTAGACTAAAATCACGTGGGCTACCCAGAAATGTTCCCCATAGAACTCAATGTAAACTAAAACAGCTCGACCTCAGCTGACAGAGAACCTACAGCTTTCATAAAGGTCGGATTTTGTGGGGATTTTAGTGTCCCTTGTCATCCTGAACTTTTTTTCTTCTTAAATCCTTCGGTTTGCTTTAAATCTACACTTTAGTGCCACAATCTCTGCTCGTCTGGCTCCCGCTCTAACTCCCGCTCTGATCAGCAGTTCTGATTGGTCAGAGCGCGGCCGAGCTCCTCTGTGCACGTGCATGACAGCCACACATGCGTATTTGGCGCAACGCATCATGGGAGATCGTCCACTGCGCAGAACCGGGTGGACCAGACAATGCCCAAATACAGTATAGTTCCCATGGATCTTTGCAAGTTCCAGGCAACTTCCTCAAATCTTTCAGCGTCCATGCCGGCACAATGCGCCACTGAGCACAAACCATTCATTTGAATACGGCGCCATCTTGGATCGCCGGGGCTTGGGTCAACCAGATACCGTTCTGATTACATTCTTAAACATTGTTACACTTTGGTCTCACCTGTTTAGAAACATCTGTGAGGAGGTCTGGAGAGGATCTGCACTGTCGCTCGTCATAATCAGACTGGTAATATGTTCTAAAACACACACACATACGGTTGATACTTGTAATATTATTTAACTGTAATGATATTGTTTTACGTGTCAAATGAAAGCAGTTAAGACCAAACAAATGTGCCACTTCCAACTCAGATTATAACTTGTGATGAATTACAAATACCTGTCAAATGTTGAGATTTTCTTTTCTCCTGGCCCCACACACTCCAGTAACTGCATCTGAGTTCGGCCACTAAAGATTACACAAACCCAACGTTATACAATGATAAAAACACCACGGTCAGTGAGGATTCCAACACAAACTAGTGTTGATGAATTCTGTTCAAAGCTCATGTTAAATTACAGGTTTCAAGTCACTCCGTCTCAGCGGTCACCAAGCACACAGAGCACAAACAGTTAAACTAACATTTGCATTATCAAGTTACTTTAAAGGTCTAAACATATAAGATTAAGCTTTTCCCTTCTGTTTATTTAAGTAAGTAAGTAATCTTTATTTAGATAGCGCCTTTCACAGACCAGCGTCACAAAGCACTTTACTGTTGTGGACATTGTGTGGTCTCTCACGAGGTGGCGACGTTGTTTTACTGTTATTTAATTTGGAATACATCTGCAAAAGTCCCCATGTGCACAAGACAAGTACATGACAATATTGTGCATGTTTTTAGTGGTAGGGGAAACCTACGTAGACACGAGGGGAACATGCAAACGCCACTTAGAAAGACCCCGTTTCAACTGGGATTTGAACCTAGGACCGTCTTGCTGAGAAGCAACAGTGCTATCCACTGATGCGGCTGTAAAGTGCCAAACTGCCGTTGTGTCCTTAGGCAAGACACTTCACCCCCATTGCCTAGAATGAGTCTAGCGTGTGTGTATGGTTGATCGGAGGGGCCGATGGCACAGACTGGTTGCCTCGCTTCTGTCAGTGTGCCCCGGGGCAGCTGTGGCTACCGTAGAAGTGTATCACCACTGTGTATGGAGTGAATGAATAAAGACATGTAAAGCGTTTTTGAGTGTCCAAAAAAGCGCTATATAAAACCGATGCATTATTATTATTATTATTATTAACATCTGTACATGATCTAACATGTTGTGAGTGTGTGAGCGTTTTGACAATGGAAAAAGCATATTAAACTATGAACCGTTTGGACACCAGTATTTTCTGCACCTGTATCTGAACCTGGAGCCCTTGCAGGAGAGCAGAGTCTTGTGCACGGTGTCTGGTTCCTCTGGCAGCCTGAAGAAGGCGTGGTACTCCACACAGATCTTCCAGAAGGATTTACACACGTCTCGACTGGCCATGCAGAACTCCAGCGTGTCCTTACCCAGCGCCTGAGCAATCACAATTCATTCTATCTAATTATTTTATATAAACATGGACAAGCAAAGACAAAACCTTTAGACACAAATTCTATTATCTACTATTACTGTAGTTATTTGAATCTTCCACGCATGAGCAATTACAGTATATTTCATTCATTAATGTTTTTGTTTCTGTCATTTCAAGCCCGTTTTGATACCTTTTAGTAAAAAAAAAATCAAAACTCCAGGGAAATTTACCAAGCCAAGACTCCAGATCTAAATATATTTTTCTGGAAATAGAACAGCCCCCACAGATTTCTTATTGGGCACAATCAATTCCAATCCTTGACAGACAGCTGAGACCCCTCCCCATGATGCTGGAGGACTGATGTCCTCCAGCAAATATTACTGTTCCTGCTTATTCCAAAGGGAAGAACAATTTTGAATATACTCATTATGAAAAAATACTTCATTTAGATGACACTACGGGGTCATTAAGTCAATAATATGTTTTATTTACACAATTAAATACAATTGAAGTTGCAGTTATCACCTTAAACCTTTTAGCGGCAGGACACTTTCTACACAGCGGCTCGGCTTCCCACAAACGTCACACTACATTTAAAAAAAAATATTTTCCAATGTATATTTGTTTTTGATTAATGTTAGTCTCCTATCTGTTACTAAGTTTCAGGCTCTATTTCACATTACATTTCTCAAAAAAACACTTACCCCAACTTTATCATGCAGCTTGATGAGGAAATGCTTGCGTTTGAAACTCAATTTCCGTATCTTGGCCCAGTTGAAGGAGTTGATTCTGGTGTTTCCCTACAGAGAACACATAGGAGTAGTTTTTGAGTTATAGATTTGTTTAATTTTAGTTGTTAGAAGTTAGAAGAGGTTGTGTTTACCTGAAACACCAGCACCCCAGAGTGAGTGACAGCCAGGTTGATCCTCATGCCCTCCCCGTCGTGGGCAGCGTGAGGCCGGATGCCGTACATGTCCAGTTTACGAGCCACCTCCAGCAGCTGGATGTCGGCTTCAGAGGGAGTGACACCTCTGCACACAGTAGGTAAGTAAGTCATCTTTATTCGTATAGCGCCTTTCACAGACCAGAGTCACAAAGCCCTTTACAATTGTTATGGGCACTTGTCTCTTACTCCACACAGAGATGGGAGGGAGGCCATGCAGGAGACGTATGACCTATTGTATGTGTTTTTAGTGGTAGAGGAAACCGGAGCGCCTGGAGGAAACCGATTCAGACACAGAGAGAACATGCAAACCCACAGAGAAAAGTCTGGAGGTAGAATCGAACCCTGAGCCTTCTCGCTAAGTTTAATGTGTTCTTCTGATATTGTATTTTCTGGTTATAAATGTGGCCAAAGTAACAACATCAGTGTGTGAACTTTTGTAAAATTCTAACTACTGTTGTTATTTTGGGCAACACCAGCATGAATTGAATTGAAATTGTTTGGAATGAAGACCAGAGGAGAACAGAGGAAAGAAACAAGAAGAGACCAGAGGAGACCAGAGGAGACCAGAGGAGACCAGAGGAGACCAGAGGAGACGAGAAGAGACCAGAGGAAACAAGAAGAGACAAGAAGAGACCAGAGGAGACGAGAGAGGGGACCAGAGGAGACAGGAGGAGACCAGAGGAGAACAGAGGTGATGAGAGGAGAACAGAGGGGACGAGACAAGGCCAAAGGAGACAAGAGGAGACCAGAGAAGACCAGAAGAAATGAGAGGAGACCAGAGGAGACCAGAGGAGACCAGAGGAGAACAGAGGGGATGAGAAGAGACGAGAGGAGACTAGAGGAGAAGAGAAGAGACGAGACCAAAGGAGACCAGAGGAGACCAAAGGAGACCAGAGGAGACCAGAGGGGATGAGAAGAGACCAGAAGAGACCAGAGGAGACCAGAGGGGGACCAGAGGGGACCAGAGGGGACCAGAGGAAACCGGAGGAGACCAGAGGGGACCAGAGGAGAACAGAGGGGATGAGAAGAGACAAGAGGAGACTAGAGGAGAAGAGACGAGAAGAGACAGGAAGAGACGAGAAGAGAAGAGACGAGACCAAAGGAGACCAGAGGAGACCAAAGGAGACCAGAGGGGATGAGAAGAGACCAGAGGAGACAAGGGGAGAATTGAATCTTGACTGGAGACACCACAGATTTCCATAATTCCCCTCACACAAAAGCCTGATTTGAGTCCTTACCTGTGTTTCTTGTGCAGTTTGACAATCTTATGATCCAGATACTCCTGGTTTGGGATGTACTGCTTCATGTCTAAGTGCTGTGCGTCCATCTCTTCGTTGTAGTCGCCCAGTTCTGCTGTAAAACACACAAAAGGCCGCTCCGTCTTTACACACGTGCAGAATACCGAGAGCTCTTCCCCATCAGAGAAACAGGCCAAACTTACACTGCAGTATGTGCGAGACCAGCAGGGCGGCGCTGTTGTCGTTGCACGTCAGTCCTCCGTTTGATAAGTCCAGTCTGATCTGTAAGGCAAAGAGGTACCTACACATGCACACACACATGCACACACACACGCACACCAGATTGTAGTTAGCGAGTGTCCATGTGTAGTCCCCCAGTCACAGTCACGGTAGGGGAACCCAGAGTACCCGGAGGAAAACTACGCAGACACAGGGAGAACATGCAAACTCCACACAGAAAGGTCCCACAGGTGGAATCCAAATTATACATAACATATTTTATAATGAGATGAACGCAGGTCTTCTTAAGTCTTAGTCATGAAAAGTGCTTAAAAATGGGACGAAGCGGTAAAGTGATCCAATTGTGTATATTTTTTTACCATTACAAAACATTACTGCGGAAATCATGTATATTTCATTATAAAAGCGAAAAATGCTCTTGCAGATCACTAAAAGGGTTGGTTTCAAAATTGGGTTGACCAGCTTTAATGATCAAAATGAAGATATTTACCGAGTGAGTCCTCGCTTGAGCTGTCCGGGATCAGGAGGGAAAAACTTCACAATGAACCGGAAGAAGAGGTCACTTGTGTCTAGGAGATAAAACATAATTTACAAAAACATTTTTAGTTAATCCAGTGTTTCTTTGGTTCAAATAAATTGCTTTGGATCTGTAATTGTTATGAAGGGCCTGCTCATATCACTGCTAATATTCAGACTCAGAGGAGCACAGGGACTGGCCTCCTGCTGGTGCCCAGAGTCAGGGCTAACCATGGGGTGGCAGCGTTTCAGATTCATGCAGCAATAATCTGGAACCGTCTTCCCGAAAATGTGAGACAGGCTTCTATAATGTTCAAATCCAGGTTAAAGACAGCCCCATTTAGCTGTGCATACATCTGAAGGCTTGTATCTTTTTTCTTTGTAATGTACTGTGACTATTTATAATTTATGATTAGTTCAGCACATTGAGTTGCCTTGTGTATGAACTGTGCTATACAGATAAACTTGCCTTGCCTAAGAATTATGTCTGTGTTGATCCTCCCACCAGAGGGAGGTATACAACATTATTATTTATTATATATATATTTTTTTTCCAAATTTGAAAATTGTGATGTCATCGGGGTACAATGACATCATACTATCACAGGATTTAGACAGGAGCTTTCAGGCAGAAGGGGCGGGGTTACATATTTGTGCCAGAAGTTCGTGACATTAGCACGGACGGATCTAAAAACTACTCCAGGACTTTTTTTGACAGGATAACACTGCCAATGTTCTATTCTACGTCTTCTTGAACTTATAGTCTATGTAAAAGTATGGAAAAGTATGACCACAAAATATCATGTGAATGCAGCACATGAGGTATATCAATATCTTTTACTCACATTTGATTTGTTTGGCCAGTGGCTTCATCAGCTCTAACCAAACCTGGAAAAAAAATTCATAAATACAGAAAATCTAGAAAATATAGAAAAATAAATTTTTCCCAAACGTGTATAGCTTACATAATGGCCGCTCTGGTGTCTAAACTCCAAGCCAAAGTACTCCTTCTCCAGCAGCTTGAGATGCCCACACACTTTATTGAAGAAATCCACTCCTAAGACTTTGTACTGAAATTAAATAGGAACAAAAAAGAGATAACAGATAATTGGATTTACCTTACAACAAAATGGCTCAAAACCCAAGGGACGAAATTTAAAATGTGGCATGTTTTTTTTCTGTTGGGTATTGGGGGAGGATTAGAGGGATAGGGCTTTGAACTTGGATTGGTGATACATTACGGCCTAAGAGTTTAATTATAATGAAGTTTTGTCTGGGTGGATCATTTACGGACTAAAGAAATCTGCTGTTTGACCTCAAAAGCTCTGACAGACCTCTAAAAAAAACTTGAATGTGAACCCAGACAAACACATAAAAGATATACATTATAATGTATTTGGATTTGACCCACCCCTTCAATCAAGAGCTGTTTTTGTACATGTTTTTAGTGGCAGGGCAAAGCAGAGCACCCAGAGGAAACCCACACATCCACAGGGAGAACATGCAAACTCAACTCAGAAAAGGCCTTGTTCTGACCGGGATTCGAACCCAGGACCTTCCTTGCTGAGAAGGGATAGCACTGGTTACCAACAGTTGCCATTAGTTACCAAATCAACCATATGATTACAGAAAGGCAGGGAAATCACGTCATGAAATCACAACAAAATGCACTTTTCTAGTAATAAATATGTGCGATAATTGTATTTTTTGTCAGTTATTATTTGCCAACCACAATATTGTAAATGTGAGCAATCATTTTGGGGTTTCCTAATGTTCAAACCACATGCAAAAATGAACTATGCCATAAAATATATCTATGCAACTGTAATTCCTCAATCTCAAAATAATTTGGTTCTATCACTCGTTTCCAAGTCAAAGTGAAAAAGAAAGGACTACTCTCACTCAGCCAATCAGCTCACTGGGCTCTTTTCTATTCAAAATGTAACGTGTTTTTGAACGTATGAAGACAACATTTTGAGATCTGATTTCATCACAATATTTTACTTTTACAAGACTCTTTCTATTGGAACATGTGATAATTCTATGAAAACAATAAAGTCCATGATATATTTAGTTTAATACAATAGTCTCCAAAGTCTGGAGTATTCCCTTTAGTCAAAGATCCCTCAGTAGTTTGATAAATATGTAACTCATTTCCTTTTAAATTTAGGTCCTATTTTTATTCAAACACAGAAACTTACATGATTTAAGCTGTAAATGTATATGTCGTTTTTCTTTACTTTATTAATCTCAACCTGTCTGGCCCTCCTGTTCAGTGGGAAGCAGTGGAATAATGCATTGGCCAGTTTTGAAATGTTGATATCTAGGACATTCAGCTTCATAGTTGTACATGAATCTGAAAGGATCACATTTTAATCTGAATGTATTGTCTATATATATATATATATTTCATGCTTTTGTATATCTTTGACTATGCATTATTATTTATTATTAGTAGTATTATATTTACTATTATGCATTAATTTAAGAGTAAAGCCTTATTCTTCTGGATCAATCCTGAAGAACCAGGCTTTACAAACACTGTCACAGCATTCTACATATTCTCCATCAGCACATATCCATGGTTCCAGTGTTTCCTCATAATGACGTCTCAAAGTGCTGACAGTGTACTTTAAGTGATCCGCGGTTTTCCTCCGAGTGCTCCATTCATCTCCTCTGGTCACTCCAGTCTGAACCTGAAACTTGGTTCACTAGAACTCCCAGAGCAGTCAATTTGACGCTTTTCATTTTGGAAGTATAATTACTCAGCACATGTACCTTTTTGGTACAGGTACATACTTTTTCTGTTTCTATGTGTATTTTTTTTCTGTCATAATTTGTATGAATTCATCTTTTATTTTTATAGAACAAAAAACATCTTGTATTCTATGGCAGTTAGAATCAGAATTATTTTTGATTCCATTTTAAGCAACAGGCAGTCTAAACTGAGCCTCTGCTTTGGCTCAAGGTACAAACAAATCATAGAAATAATTGTTTCTGGTCTGCACTGGTTCTGGTTTTTCACTAGAGATAAGTGCTAGTTACCATACCAACACACTGTTTCCTGTCAGCAGTTAGCCTTTCACCAAATTCACAGATTTAGTAATTGATTTACTTTTAATAGAATCTTTTCTTTTTTTCGTAGAACTATCCAATTGGTCTGAATGGGAGCAGTAAATATGTGTAAAAGTGTTAAATCCTGCAGCCCCACGGGTCCCTTCTGGAGCCTGCCTCCCTGATTTAGACTTGGGTACATTGCCAGTCCCTGCTGTGGCCTGTCTCCTGATTCCTCGGTGTAATAACCCGCTCCAGCTTTCTCCCTTGTGTTTAGCGCGTCTTTTAGACCGGTGCTGTCTCTCGCACCATCAGGAGGCCAGTGTGTGTCTGATATTAACACGTCCCATCGAGGAAGAGGAGGAGGAGGAAGAGAGCAGCTGAGGCCCATTATTTCGGAAACACAGTCATTACAACAAACGTGATCACTGCCGACACGCAGCTAAAGCTGGAGGACCTAACTTTTATCTCCACTTAAATAACAAATGTTGTGTCATGATGGCAAAATGAAAAGAACCCAAAACACAGGACTGCCAAAAAAGTATTTAATCAAAGCTAATTCAAATTACAGCGTAAAAATACAAAAACGTAACCAAACTGGGGACAAAGACAAGAACTAGAAGACGTGGATTTTAAAATGGCCCTGTTCCCGATGATGGGTGCGAGTGCGTCCCAATTCTCCAGGGAGGTCTTTGGCCCCGCCCCCTTTGCGCCCCTGATCCACACTTCACCGTAGACTGCATCTAAGCGGACTCTGGCGAAGGATGCTTCCCATAATTCTTTGCGGCACACACCAAAACGTAGGGAAAATGGCTTTGGTTGTGGATCCTTCCTCGAGAAAATGGGCATTTAAGTGTGATTAAGTTTGAAATATTTATGCTGTATGTGCGTAAATGAGTTTTGCAATGTTACTTGGACGGAAGCATAAATGTCTGATGAAGAAATACTGTGATTAGTTGAACATTTTCATAACTTTGTGTATGTTGTAACGTAAGCATTCATATAACATTCAATTTAAACTTTACATTAAACTTCACACTTAGTACAATAACATTTGGATGTCGCAGATATGACACAACGGAACCTGCGCTGTCCCAATTCCGGGTTTACATACAGACACAGGTGAGACACATGAGGACAAAAGGAAGTAGAACTAAAATAGGAAGATACAGGGGCTGACGAATTACAAAACTGTCATGGTGTGGATTTTACTTGGTTTTATTTGGGCTTTTTCCCTGTTTTAGTTTGACTTCCTGTTCCTGTGTTGATTGTCTGCCCCGCCCTGTTATGTTTCACCTGTGTCTATGTGTCCTCTCCCCTTGTTGCTGGTTCATTGTGTCACTCCCGTATTCGGCCCGGAAACCGGATTCGTCCGGAAGTTCAGTTTGCGCATGTCAATAAGTCCTTAAGTGGTGACTGGTTAAGTTTTAGGTGTCTGAGTAAGATGGTTAAGGTTAGGGTTAAGTCTGGGTTGGGGATATTTTATGGGAATGGCTGGTTAAGTTTAGGCATGAATAGGTAGTTATTCCGTGACGTAATCTACTGCTGCGTATGCTCATTGGATCAAACTAAACTTCCGGGACGAATCCAGGAGTGACAAATTGCCTTGTTTCAGTCTTTGTCTTTGTTCCTGGTTCCTTGTTCCTGTGTTCAGTTTGGATTTGGATTTTGTTTTTACCTTGGACATTATTTTTTATCTTTGTCGTTAAATCATTTTTTTGAATTCCTGTATTTTGGGTCCTTCCTTCCACCGCACATGACAGTTTAGGTTTAAATCCTGTTTTATTTAGAAATTTGTTCACCTTCCGTGTCTTCTTTAGTTGCACCTCCTGCTTCCTGTTTCCTGCCCCGCCCTCACTCGCCATCCACTGTGCCACACTTTTTGAACGATTCATTACAGCAGAAATATTATATTAATTTCTTAGTTTACATGACCTTCTGTAAATGTTGCCTTCTGTGCTTACAGTACACATGCAAATACATAAACGTAACTACAATATATAACCAAGCAACAGTATTTGCCCTAGCCTGGCCATAGCCATCCGTACACTCCGCTCAATCATCATTTCACTGCATGTAGCGTCTGGGTCTGGTCCCTGTGTTAGCGAATACAATCGGTTGAATTTCGACCGGCTACTCAGAGAGCGCGGAAGGCGGGTGTTGTAGGTCGGTGCCGGTGACGTCAAGAGTTTGCGCCGAACGGGCAGGTTGTAGTTTGGCAGTGGCGAAGAATGCGATAGTAAAGTAATCCGGTCTGGTTCTATCAAGAAATTGAAGCAGGAGCAAGAGGAATGTTTAGCAAATGTAATCGCTGGTCAAGATTGTGGAGCTACTCCCCACGGGCTCCGTTAGCGGCAAAGGAGATGGCTAGGCTAAATGCTAAATGCAAACAACACACTCGGTCGCATTACGTACGTCACGGTAAACTCAGATCCAATCGTTTCATTCTGCAAAAGGAGTTAACCCCTCCCACCTGTTCACGGAGCTCAATGGAGCAGATCCAGACCTTAGTACGAAATGTAATTTGTACTATGGTGTGGTACGACCAGGCTATATTTTCCCTAGTTTCACCATGTGTTGTATATTAACAGGTATTTACAAATGCATTTTTATCTACAATTTATCAGCTTGAAATAGAGTTGGAAAGAATTAAAACTTGTTGAATCCTACCCCATCAACATAATTCAAATACATACATACTTTTTAGTTATTTAGCATTTTTGATTCACTTTTGCATGTTTGAGTAATCAGTGTCCTCCATACTTGGCGCAGTAATCGACTCTTTCACCTTCCATCGATCCCCGCTCATATCTCTGCTCTTACATGTGGTTTTATGAATGAAATACATACACGTACCACAAAACACATTCATTAAATAATCCTTTTGAACAACATGGTTTTTTCAGGACAACACACAAGCCCTGTATTTACAGTAAATGTGCCTGTTGTCGTGTTTACAGGCTTATCATACTGGTGGGCAAAGATCTCACAAAGTCATAGAGCAATATAGAATGTCCATGAAATAACTTTTGACGTGACAATACCATTTAAGGACATATGTTAACATTTATAGACAGTGGTCTCTAACACATAGAGACCAAAGGCTCTATGTGTTAGTACTGTTTGTTTCTCTTCTGTTGAGGAATCGACTCCTCTGAGACGATCTATCAAGCCCAGATTTAAGGATGATTTACAGTACTTAAGACCTACACTGCAGCATTTCTATTCTAAAATATATTTAAATTAATAATAATAACCGTTTTAATAATAATAATAATAAAACAGGTAAACAAAACAAATGAATGAATAAAACACTTGAAACACATAATGCACATATTTTAAACTAAATCTTTCTCATAGTAATAATACACTCTAAAATGGAGCAGCTTTTATGCTCTTTCTATACGTCGCCTTTGGCCTGGAGCTCCTCACATCAGGGTCAGGCTGCTGCTGTTAAAACCAGGTCAAAAACTGTCACAACTAAAACTCAAAAAACAGAATGTTCAACAAAATAAAATAACCTTGTCATTTCCCCTCATAGAAAAAAACATCATGATCAGGAAAGACGCAACATTTGAGGAAATTAACATAAAATAATTACGTTAAAAAGGATTATGTCATAATTAAGCAAATAATAATGTTGAATTCTGACAAATCTGGTCAACAACTATTTGGTTTATGTCAATTTCTTTTCAAAACAGAGCAGTTCAGACATGTATTTTTAGATTCTGTAAACTTTCTTCTACCGGATTAGGACTGAGTGTAATTCAATAATAAAGTAGATCTATTCGCTTAAGAGACCAAGATTATTTCACTGGTTAACTCCGCTTTTTACATTAGCAAAACTTTCGTACAATTTGAAATGGTAAAATTGTCAGTGGCATAGTCTAGGAAGGTGAATCTCAACTTATCAGTGGAAATAAAAGTATTTGGTTCTTCTATTTCAGAAAATAGTAGGTTTGCGATGCTATTACATTGACTGGTTTTGAACAGGTAGAAAAAAAACCAAGTACTTTTGTTGTCAGGGGCATATTGAAATGACTCAAATAATCCAGGTTCAATAAGGTAGTAAAACAAAATGGGTCATAAACTAAATTACATCTTCTAAATCCCATTTTGTAGTGTAAGGGCAGAGTTAGAACTAAAATACATACACGTTCAAATCCCAAACCTCCTTCCTTACCTCTACCTCAAAAGTGCGTTCACTGTTATCCAGGAAAATCACCCGGAGCCTGAGTTTCTGCTGACTCTGCCTGCGGGAAGATGCTCCGATCCTGGGGAGAGTCCTGCAGCGGGGACCCTCATCCTCCATGCTCCAACAATACTTCCAAACCGGGACCAAAACCTGGGTCCGGTCTCCCTGGTCTCTGCCCTCAGCTGCTGCAGTGATGGAGGTCCATATTGACTGCTCTCCCGTCCTCCTCCTCCTCCTCCTGCTGCTGGTGCTGCTGCTGCTGCTGCTGCTGTTGCTGCTGCTGCTGCTGCTGCTGCTGCTGTTGCTGCTGCTGCTGCTGCTGCTGCTGTTGCTGCTGTTGCTGCTGCTGCTGCTGCTGCTGTTGCTGCTGCTGCTGCTGTTGCTGCTGCTGCTGCTGCTGCTGTTGCTGCTGCTGCTGCTGCTGCTGCTGCTGCTGCGGCTCCTGCTGCTGCTGGTGAGCGTGCTTGTGTGTGGTTCGAGCGTGTGTTTTGTGTAGCTGTAGTAATAGTGTGACGTCTGGAGCGTTTTGTTTCCACCGAATGAACAGCGATAAAAGAGCCTAACACACTGCCCTGGATTAGAAACTACTGCTTCCACTGTACTGTTCTCTATAGGGATCATTGTGGCACAAAAATCAATTATATTTTCACATTTCCTGTTTGGGAAAAGGAAAAATATGTTTTATATAATTTATATCGATTGTATTAATCAAACAAATGAATTGAATTTTTTTTGCAATGCAACTCTTATAAGTAACACAATTATGTCAAAAGGTAGACATTTTTATACTTCCTTATTGAGTATAATCCTGGTTTTACGAACCAAGAAAATGTCACATATACACGGCCATGTCTCTGTAGTAGTTGAAATGGTAATGGATGAAAAATGTATACATTAATCAAGATAATGAACAAAAGTATATGTGTAAGGCATATGGTGAATAAATAGCCCCAAAGATAATACATGCAGGGCTCAATCAGTTTGAACAAGTCTTGGCAATATCCAACAATTCAAAGTAGAGTATAAAGCTAATGCTACACAGGACTTTAGCATAGTTCGTGCACAAGGCAAAGTGCTTAACGAAACGTGATGGAAACAATCACGCAAGGCATTAAAATCATAAATAATCACGTCTACAGTTGTATGCACACTCAAACAGAACCGGTTTTAACTTGGATTTGAACATTTTCAGAGTCGAAGCTTGAACCAAGTGTTCTGGAAGACTGTACCAGATTTCAGGTGCCTACATCCCCATGTTTAGTTCTGACTCTGGGCACCAGCAGGAGGCCAGTCCCTGTGCTCCTCAGAGTCTTACAGCAGGAGGCCAGTCCCTGTACTCCTCAGAGTTCGAGTTGGTTCATATGGCACTAACATGTCACAGATGTAGTTTGGTGTGAGGCCATAGAGAGACTTGTACACCAGCATTAAAACATGTATTTCTGATTATAGTATGTCTCCGTACGGCTGCGTCACATCCACTTTCTGAAAAGTCTTTCGCACAATTGCACAACTGTTAACATAAGAGTCAAATTTGATGTTGCCATTGGTAACGAAGAAGTCATTTGCCCCAATGAGTTGTGTCTGCCAACCTGTACTGCATCCGCTGTGAGTGTGAGTCTTTGACAGAGTGGAGTGGATTTCACGGTGACTGGCTGCTTTTAGAGAAGTGACTGTGGAAGTAGGCGAGTGGACGCCCTGCAGCGGTGTCACATGATGCACTAGGCCACTTTGACCAATACAACATGGCCGCCAAGGAAAAGTGGATGTGACATGTACTTTTGTGCTACAATTGTAAATAATGAACAAATGTACACTTTTTATTGTCAACCCAAGTGGACAAGCTACAAAAGTCTCCCATTCGAAGCATTTCTTGACAATGATTCCAGTATTTCAGTGCGAGTATCAAACCCCAGGTCTCCAAGATGTCTGTCCATTAAGATCAATGGCCTGTGCTCTTTGGCGCACGCTTGCACCATGAACCATGAAGTGATGTGTTTTGGCCAGCTCTGGTTCTCCCGGCCTTATTCAGTATGTGCCCAGTGGTTCTATGTATTCCAATGTGGTTTTACTACAATAGATGACTTTCAACCACGTGACCAAAACTAGCTTGTTCAAAAACTCTCTGGAACTACATGAAAACTGAACAAAGAATTCTGAACATTCAGCAGTGCCAGTGAGTTACCCATTTACATACCGAACCTAAATCCATAATCACATCCTCTTCAAATGTGTCCTAAAATGTTTCATGTTAAAGGTTACTTCCGGGTTTATCACGATCGCTTTTTGTCACATTAATTCTGTATTTTAGCCATGGAAACGTTAACAAATAATTCTGAAAACCTCCATGCATGTGTGTTAAGGATGTATATGTATAATGTATCCTCTGATTAACATTTAATGGTGTTGATTGATTGATTGATTGTTTATTGAGAGTGGCTAGCTCCGCTAGCTTCTCTGAACAGACAAGTAGTGACAGGCACTGAAAGCTCGTTGTACTTGTATTTTTGTACAATCACTGATTAAAGAAAACAAGGATCTGAAAGAGAAATGTCTGGAAAGTGCCCGATACCAGAGACGGTGGGACCTCAGGCTTATCCGTCTGCATGAGAAAGAAAATGAGAATGCACGTGAAACAGTGATTCCTGTGTCTGTGGACAAGCTCAGAGAAACTGTGGACACTGTACATCGACTTGGAAGAAAGAATGACGTAGCTACAAACAAGATGCCTCGTCCGATCATCATTCAATTTGGTATGAGGACAACGCGGGACGAGATTTGGAGACGCTCGAAGGAAGCGCCGGTGTGCAGAGAGATGAACATTCGGTTCAAGGAAGTCTTTTCCAAAGAAGATGAGGAGGCACGGACGAAGCTGTGGCCAGCAGTGGAGGAAGCGCGGCGCAGGGGTCGAAGAGCCTTCTTGAAAGAGGGGTATCATAGTTGGTAAAAGAGTGGATCCATAAAACTTTTTATTGGAAAAAAAAAATGTTGTTTTCACTAAAGAATTTACTTTATCAAAAAACAAAACACTTTATTCTTATCTAGCGTAGTTCAAAAGCGGATTTTTTTATTTTTTATGTCTGCTCATTTAAGTTTGTTAAATGTTAGAGGTTTACAAAATATCGTTAAACATAAGGCATTATTTTTATTTTGTAAAGAGACAAAAGCTAATCTTATTTTTTTGCAAGAGACTCATTCAACTAAAGATGACGAAAAGTTTTGGAAGCAACAATGGGGAGATAATATTTTCTATTCACATGGTACTTCTCATTCAGCAGAGGCGATGATTTTATTTAACAGGTTTAATGGAACAATTATTGATCATAAAAGTGATGAGGAAGGCCATTGGTCAATGGTTGTTGTAGAGATGCTTGATTCCAAATGTATCTTAGTTAATAGTATATATGGATACAATAAGTCGAGCGTTGCGCTCACAAAACGCCAGACGTCTGGTGGTTCCTAAGGTCTCAAAAATCACTGTTGGTGGCAGAGCATTTAGCTCCAAGCTCCTTTACTGTGGAATCAGCTTCCCATTTATGTTAAGGAAGCAGATACGGTCTCCACATTCAAGGCCAGGCTTAAAGCATCCATCCATCCATTTTCTACCCTTTAATCCATTTCTGGGTCAGGGGGGTGGCAGTCAGAGATGCCACCCAAGTCTCATAGCACCAGCCCCTCACTGACCCTCTGCAGGTGGTGAGTCCACAGGAGCTGAGATCTTCCAGCAGGGGCTTTGGGCAAAGTGGGGTTAAGTGTCTTGCCCAAGGACACAACGAGTCGGTGGAGAAGGTGTAGAGGTGGGAATTGAACCCACGACCTTCTGGCCTTAAGGCCAGAAGGCTCTACCAATGCTCTACTTTAATTTAGCATATAATTAGGTAATATATAATAAATGGCTAACATACATATAACAAATTTTTACATAATGTAAAATGCACATAGGGTAATTTTTCAATTACTATAGGAATGATAAGAAAGAGAGGTGAAGTGTAAGACGGTTGATTTTAGAAATTGGACGTTTTGTTTTACTTTTTAAAACTCATTGGACTCATTTCCAAATGGAGGATTACGTATCTACGCTCAAACTATTATCTGGACTTAAACATGGAACTGGTCTGAACCGAAGTGGCCTGTGCAGGTCATTTATAAGGTAAGACCCATAACTCACAGTTTTGCGTTTTGTATGAACAAACAATGCGGGCATGAAACATATTTTGCTGTAGCCAAACAAACTGTCCACTTGATTTATATGATATATATGTTCATCTGATTGGGCTGAAGTCAGTGCTTCACCGGTGTTTCCACATTCACAGTGGCGGGCTTTACAGCACAGTGAGAGATGAAGAGTGAACAGGACTTCAGCAGCAAAACAGCCTTTTCTAGATGGAAATATTGGCACTATTAAAGGTAAAAATGCGCACGTCGGGTGCACATTATGTTCCAGAACAAAACAAAAAAGTAACGCAATAGTTACTTTTACTGGTAACTAGTTACTTTTATAGTGGAGTAACTCCGTTAACTCAGTTACTTTTTGGGAGAAGTAACTAGTAACTATAACTAATTACTTTTTCAAAGTAACGTGCCCAACACTGGTCCTGGGTCTTCCCCTGGGTCTCCTCCCAGTGGGCCTTGCTCTGAACACCTCAGGGAAGCGTCCAGGAGGCATCTGAAACAGAGCCACCTCATCTGGCTCCTCTTGACGTGTAGAAGCAGCGGCTCTACTCTGAGCTCCCGCCAAGTGACTGAGCTCCTCACCCTCTTTCTAAGGGAGGGACACAGAGGGAACTCATTTCGACCACTTGTACCCTGAGAAACTTGAACTACTCCACTGGAGGAAGGACCTCTGCACCTGGAGAGGCACCTTTTTCTGATCTCACTATAAGACTTGACTTCCCAGTGCATGTTGAAAGTCCTGGTTTGTTTGGAGCCAACAAGACAACATTGTCTGGCAAACAGCAGAGATGAAATCCTGTGCTCTCCAAACTATGGTCCCCTACTACGTTACTAAAGTATTTTCATTTTATTCATTACTATTTGTATTTTTTTCTGTTTTATTTCATTTATTTTATTAGTTTTTTGTTTGACATGGACAATGTCGTCAGACATATTTACCAAACTTAACTGATGTTATGCATGCAGACTTTAAGGCTACTTTACAACATTCTGTCCCTGTGGGCTTTTGTACAGTCACTTTAAAACCTTCATGAAAACAATGATAAAGGTACAATGTCTCTTTCATTTCCTCACATACATACATTGTATTTGACAGTATTTAACAGTCTGTCAAAACCATTGACAAAGAGTGAGTCGTAAGTCCATGTGTCCTTGTGTGAATGTACATGTAGAGCCTTGAACAGGGCTTTGTCGGCCGTGGCTTTAGATTCCTCGGCCAAAGGTAAGACATGTGCATTGGTTTGGGCTGAGGACAGAGACGAGGCACTTCCAGCTTTGACAGCACTGAAAAAGACACACACATCCCCACATGAGATAGGAGTTTTTATCAAAGTCATTGTGTCATCATCAAAGATGTCTTCAGATTGTTTCCAGTTTTGTGTTCCAGTTGGAGACAGGAGTCCGCTGCATCATCATGTCCCGGTGAGTCATCTTCAAATAAGCAGTGAACATATGAATGAAAGGCTCCTTCTGCTCCCTCACTTCGCAGATGATGTGTCGCTGATGGAGCTGTCCATGGTATCAACCACACTACTGCAGTGAAGCTTCACTAGAGACCACCCTGATCCTGACCCTACACAGTGAGAGGCCATTCTGACTCTGGACCAATGACATGGACACGTGTCTGGTGAGCTGGACTCTGAGGGTCCATGTAGGATCCACAGTGGAATGCAGACATATTGTTACTTGTGTGAATGAACTTGTTTTCATTACAGGAACTCAAGCTCCGTGTTGGAAAAGACATGGTTTTCTACAACTACAATGACTGCTGTACTTCCAGCTCCAGCCACATATAGTCCAAAGAACACACATCCAAACGTTGGTAAGTCAATATCGGAGATACAGAGTGTTCAGTGTTCATTAGAATGTAAGTGACCCCAAACATGTATTTGACCAAATGTAGGATCTATTCTTGTGAGAGCGACCTGTGGATGCTGCTGTCCACTTCAGGGGAAGAAAGGAACAAGTGCAGCCACAAAGAGACCAGACTCATCCCACGTGAGAGGCCTTCAGTTTGTGTCCTGCTGCTCTTCTGAACTGTGCTCTTAAAACACATTGGTCTTGTTCAGGGAGGAAACTTGAGGGAACAAGATGACAACATTATCATTCTCCTATTCTATTGTGACGTGCAGGCAATGAGGGAGCAGCGTCTACAGTCAGAGCTCTATCAGACTGTTGTGGTGAAGAGGGAGCAGCGTCTACAGTCAGAGCTCTGGATTTACTGCTCTGTGTATGGTCATATCATGAGCTTTGGAAAATGGCCCAAAGGACAAGATAGCAGATACAAGGCTCCAAGTGAGTTTCCTTCTGACTAGAGCCGCTGCTCCTTCGCGTCAAGAAGAACCGTTTGAGGTGAGAGGAGTGGATTTGGCACAGTACTGTTGCAGACTCCAACCAGCAACAATACACTCAATGCTCTTTTCAACTGTCCCTTTGTTGTCAGATGCAGTGGGGCCTCCACCCGCGCTCAGCACCACAGAGAGCCACACCCCCTGCTCCTGACCACAGCCCACCAGTGAACCAGTGTACATAAGATCAGAGCCATGTCTGCTGAGAGCCGCCGGAACAAGGAGGAGCTCCAACAGAGGTGAGAGTGAAGTACCTCCTTGCTGGAGATTTGTACGAAGATTTACAACAAGATTTCAACAATACCATTCTTCTGTTTGATTGTGACTGCAGGCGCTGAGGAGCAGTTGGAGCTGTGAACCTAACGGAGAAACTGACCAAAACAAATCTGCAAATGAGAACGCCTGACTGGGACGGTGTGCAGCCGAGGGAGAAGCGACTCCCATGAAACTCAGCCCCTCTGAATACAAGGCCATGGTTCTGGACCGGAGGCAGATGTCTTACCCTCTCCAGGTGGCTGAGAGCTCCTTCCTCCAGCGGTGGAGTTCAAGTGTCTCTGGTCTTGTTCACTGCGAGAGAAGGAGCAGCGTCTGCAGTGATGCTGCCTCTGTATGGGACTGTTGTGGTGAGGAGGCAGCTGAGTCTGGAGCTGGCCTGGAAACGCCTCATCCAGCTGCAGGAGGTTTGTGTGAAGTGTGAAGAGGGGAGTCTGGGCCACTCATGACAGCTGCCTCTGTGACCCGGCCCAGGATAAAGAGGAAGAAATTGGATGGATGTTTCTAGATGAGCCCAAAACAAATGACTGAGGGATGGAGAAAGCTCAACATAAGACTGCGCTGAATAAATCCAAATGTGGTCCAAATAAAAACCAATAATGTTGGATTCAATTTGACTTGTATTTCTTATTTCAGTAATAGTAAGTTTGTGTTGAAGTGCTGTGTTACTTGTGACCAAAAGAGAACTATTTTATAACAATTGTTCCTGGGGCCTCCTAAAAATATACATTTTTACACCAGATTGTGTAAAAATTACTGTTTTCCTTCACTGACTTTTAATAAGTACTATAACTGTTGACTATAACTTGACATAAACAAAAACACGCTAATGCTGAAGACGAAAGACAAGTAAACAGTGTGTTGCAAACGTGTTGCCTTTCTCTGATGGACGAGGAAGCTCAGTTCAGAACCACACCTTGAAAAGGGGACTTTAACTGCCCTTTTAAGATTGTTTGTAAGCAACAGAAAATGGCTGAATTTGAATTTTATTTAGGTTAAGGGATATAACTCCTCACATTTCAAAAAGTAAACATAGATTTATTATAAAAAAATAATGTCAAACGCTGAGTAATTACACTTACACAACTAAAAGCTGTTAAATTGACTGCTCTGGGAGTTCTGGTAAAACCTTACATTGGACTTATTCAACATCACCCTCAGTCTGTGCAGGAGTCTCTCCATGATCTCACACCAAAGCACATCTGTGACATGTTAATGCCATATGAACAAGCTCTGAGGAGCACAGGGACGGGCCTCCTGCTGGGAATCTGAGGAGCACAGGGACGGGCCTCCTGCTGGGAATCTGAGGAGCACAGGGACGGGCCTCCTGCTGGGAATCTGAGGAGCACAGGGACGGGCCTCCTGCTGGGAATCTGAGGAGGAGGGACGGGCCTCCTGCTGGGAATCTGAGGAGGAGGGACTGGCCTCCTTCAACTATGCCAGAATTGGAAGAGAAGAAATATAAATATGTATTAACTTTTTAGACACAAGAGTAAACTATCATGGCATTTGTCTCTTTTTAACTATTCACTGCATCCTTACCTGTGTGTACTATAAATACTGTTTGATTGGGCTCCCTCGGTTACAACTAGTTTATAGAAATAATAATAATGCATGGGTTTTATATAGCACTTTTTTGGACACTCAACCCCTTCACATGTCATTATTCTTTCTCTCCATACACGGTCATTATCAACTACTACTGGAGCCACAGATGCCCTGGGGCACGCTGACAGAAGGCAACCAGTATGTGCCATCTGACCACCACCAGCCACTCATGCACGTTCAAAAACATTTTACTATTTACGCATCGAGACCATTTCTGTTGGAACCTGTGTTGTTCATGAAGAACTATTAGTTGAAGAAAGGTACCCCGGCTTTAATTAGCATGGATGTTGCACAAAGCAACTCCAGGTCAATTGTATGACTGTGTGTGAGGTGTGGATCGATTGCAGTGTTAGCCTTGAGAAGAAGAAGCAGTTTGGAAGATAAGCTAGCTAGAGCGAATTTCCATATATGGGCATTTGTTCTGACCGATTTCTGACGCGTTCCGACGACTTCTTCCCGATTCATTAACATTATGTTCAAATAAGCCAGCAGATTTTTTAAGAACAAAATGGTGACTGTTGACACAAACAAGCATTGAGTTTTACAATAGGAGCCAGAGCGAGTTGGAGCAAAACTTTGGACAAGAGTACTTCCCTATTGGGTTTTATCAAGCTAGAGCAGTGTTCCACAACCTTTTTGAGCCGTGACACATCCCTTTTTTATTGATAACAATCACATGCAACACGGCCACCTCTGCAGCCTTTATTGCCTAGAATGAGTCTAGTGTGTGTGAATGGTTGGTGGTGATCGCAGGGGCCGATGGCACATACTGGTTGCCTCGTTTATGCCAGTGTGCCCCAGGGCAGCTGTGGCTACAGTAGTAGTTTATCACCACCGTGTATGGAGTGAATGAATAATGACATGTAACGCGTCTTTGAGTGTCCAAAAAAGCGCTATATAAAACTGATGCATGATTATTATTATTATTTATGAACAATGCAAAATAGTAAATCTTTCTAATCTTCCAGATTATTTTCTATTCACATTATTTTGACCAATCAAGTGATATTGGTTCATTTCCAAAGGCCAACGAACGTACCACGTCTCGCGTTAGCTTCAGAGAGACGTGGACGGACAGTTCCATCGACATCATCTCTGCTTTAACACGACTGTGGCCTTTTTAGCGGGAGCGGGACGGTGACATTTTTGGGGGGAGATCAAGATGGCGGAGTGAGTAGTTGCAAAGTTTTGCGGGGCTCCAGGAAAAGTGACTTTATAGTCCAAAACATCGAATTTTGAAGATGCAGGTACTCAGATACACTTTTAAGGTTACTGTGTGTTTTTTATCTGGATGGAAGAAAAAAGAAAAATTAACATTTGAAGAAATGGCTAACCCGAAGCAAACAAGTAGCATCTCGGACCACGTGTACGCTGCACCAATTGGAGAAAAGTCGGAGAAGATTTTAATGGAGATGGATACAACAGAAAGTGAAAATGAACCAACCCCAGTTAGCAGTCCTAACCGCAAAAAGCTTAAAAGAAGAGCGGCCTCTAAACAGGTTAGCATTGAATCTGTCCTTGAAGCCATAAACTCTCTGTCAAATCGGACCAAAGATTGGACATGCTCAATGCTAAATTTGATAACATCGAAATTAAAATGCAAGCATATGAAACGGCTGCCAAAGAAAATAAAGCAGAAGTAAACAAGCTCAAAGGAGAGGTACAATCACTGATTAAAGAAAACAAGGATCTGAAAGAGAAATGTCTGGAAAGTGCCCGATACCAGAGACGGTGGGACCTCAGGCTTATCCGTCTGCATGAGAAAGAAAATGAGAATGCACGTGAAACAGTGATTCCTGTGTCTGTGGACAAGCTCAGAGAAACTGTGGACACTGTACATCGACTTGGAAGAAAGAATGACGTAGCTACAAACAAGATGCCTCGTCCGATCATCATTCAATTTGGTATGAGGACAACGCGGGACGAGATTTGGAGACGCTCGAAGGAAGCGCCGGTGTGCAGAGAGATGAACATTCGGTTCAAGGAAGTCTTTTCCAAAGAAGATGAGGAGGCACGGACGAAGCTGTGGCCAGCAGTGGAGGAAGCGCGGCGCAGGGGTCGAAGAGCCTTCTTGAAAGAGGGGTATCATAGTTGGTAAAAGAGTGGATCCATAAAACTTTTTATTGGAAAAAAAAAATGTTGTTTTCACTAAAGAATTGACTTTATCAAAAAACAAAACACTTTATTCTTATCTAGCGTAGTTCAAAAGCGGATTTTTTAATTTTTTATGTCTGTTCATTTAAGTTTGTTAAATATTAGAGGTTTACAAAATATCGTTAAACATAAGGCATTATTTTTATTTTGTAAAGAGACAAAAGCTAATCTTATTTTTTTGCAAGAGACTCATTCAAGTGCACTCTACTTTAATTTAGCATATAATTAGGTAATATATAATAAATGGTGTATATATTATATATATATGCTGTATTATGTTATATATTATGTTGTATGTTATGTTACGTATTATATATAATATATATGGTATATATAATATATAATTAGGTTTGCTTGGATCGGTTTGCGCGCCTGGTGTGTAATCCATGAATCTTGGTGCTGTAACCTAGACTAGCCTAGCCGTGGCTGCTGCTGTCTCGCCTCCTTTCAGATACGCTCTCTTTATTCAAGGCTAGGTTTAAAACAGTCCTCTTTAGTTTAGCATATGGCTAGGAAGGTAAGACTCAGGGAAGGCTAAACTCCTCAGACTGTCAGTCAAGCTGCATAGGGAGTCAGTTTGCTGGGAGAAGTATGGTAACTTGAGCACTATCCTCTCCTCCTTCCTACTTTATCTGTTTAGCATTATTAGGATTTTGACTGTAGTTTGTTCATTGCTATTCACCCGTTGTCCCATTGTCTGTTTCATGGTACGATGACGGGATCTCTGAGCCTGGCCTCCTCCATCTACACCTGCGGACTGCCCCGCCCGACCCGCCTGGGAGTGCTTCAGTCCTGCACCGGACCTGTCCACGTTCAGCGGCCACTGGTCCACGTTCTGTAGCTAGCTTAGGTCCTAGATCATTAGCCTGTCCGTCCGGAGGAGCGGATCCCTTTCTCAAATGGGTCTCCCTCCCTGTGGGTTTCCCTAGTGCTCCCCAAGGTTTCTCACTTTTTCCCACTGGGTTTTTTAAGAGTTGTTCCATGTCGATGCAGGAGGGTCTTGTTGGACAGTTAGTGTCCAACAGAAAGGATTGGTGATGATCAGGACACTTTAGCATTCTACAACATGTATGGACATTTTCTTCTGTGTGTGCTTTATATTCTTCATGTGTTTTAACTGTTGATTCTCTGACCTGTGTCGGTGATTTCAATGGTTTCGTTAAGTCCTCTGCGAGCAGCATTTATTACTGCTCGCCAAAATTGGTTAAAAATTAAAATGAAGAGCTTTTTGGTAACAAGAATCTACCAAAGATTTGTAATATTGTTATAATTATGGGTAAATACCATTTACACAAAACCAAATGGCAAAATAAAATGCCATCCCTCACGAAATTTTAAATTGAACTCAAACACTATTTTGCTTCCCTCTCATTATTAAAGAATTCATCAAAAGATATTGAAAATATTTGTGATGATGTCTCAAAATATTTGTTGTTGTAACTTGTTTTACTAAACGTATGCCTTACTGAATGTTTGATGTTTTTTGTTTGCTTTATTTTATCTGTGTAAATATCGGAACAAAATTGTTGTCTCCTAACAAGAGTTTTGTATACTTGTATGTATATTGTAAATAAAGAATTAAAAAAAAAAAGGACGGTGACATTTGGAGAGGTGCATGCTGGGATTGTTCTGCCTTGAAACCATTGCAAATTTGTAGCAGTTTTTTATTTTTGTTTTTTTTCAGATTTTAAATTTAGAGCTCGGGTGCCTGGGTTTCAAACCGTACAATAAAATATACTACTTCTGTCACTAGTGTTTGTATTAGTGTACTCTTTAAAGAGCATAGACTTATTTATAGCGCAATTTGATTCAAACAACAAGTTGATGAATCAGTATGTGATACTTTTTTTCCCTATGTACTTGTATTGTATTCATGTTTCCTCAACACACATTGTGGCCAATAGAGGGCGCTCCAAAGCCCACTTCGGTGATCACTGGGCTATAACCTAAACCTTTCTCTATTTATTCAATAATCACGTTTAATAACCTGTGGGTGCATCGTTGTCATGGAGACGTAAGTTGTATATGTGACAAAGGGAGGCTAGGGTTCCTCTAAGAATGGCAGGGAAGTCTGGTAACAAACACGAGCGAAGCAGAAATGTGGAAAATTATATAAGTTTTATTTTTGACACCAATAGTTAAAAATACGACCTTTTATTTACTGTTATTAAAATCTTTAAGATATAGCAGTGAAGGAAAACAAAACACTATTCACAACAGGTTTAATGAGCCAAACCAAACAGCAGCGGCTAACTGTTGGGTAGAGCACAGTATCAATCAATCAATCAAATTTTATTTATAAAGCGCTTTTCATACAAAAAGTGTAACACAAAGTGCTTTACAGTTTAGTTAAAAACAATCCAACATGCCCAGCCCTAAACCCTCCTCCCCACAGACCTCCCAAAACCACATTTATAATTATATATACAATACACACACCCACACACACACACACACACACATATACACAAGTATAAAGTCATATCAGGTAAAATAGGTAAAACAATAAAAAGAAATGGGGCTGGGAGCAGATGTAACCGGCTGAAGAAGCGTCATCCAAGGAGCCATCTGCACCAGGAGCAGAGAGCCGGCTGCAGCCACAGGCAACGACACAGGACCCAGAGGAGAGAGGGGCCCCAGACCCCCACCGGATCCAAGAGCCAGACCCCCGAAGCCACAGCAGACCCCAGCTCTCAGTGCAGAGGGCTCCTCCAGAGGAAACACTGGGGACACTAAAACAATACAATAATACAATAGAAAGTAGAACAATAAAATGTGAAAATAAAAAGAAAAATGGCAGCTGCCTAATATTGATAATAACAATAGTAAATGGGTAGATACAATAAATAATTAAAAATAGTAAATAATAAAAATAAATAAAAATATAATCCGTCTAAAAACATAAATAGATGTACTAAAAAGCAATAATAGATAATAAATACTAATCAAAAGCTGCTCTAAAAAGGTGCGTCTTGAGCCTACTCTTAAAAATATGAACGTTCTCTGCGGCCCTGAGCTCCTCCGGCAGACTGTTCCAGAGACAGGGGCCGTAGTGCTGGAAAGATGCCTCGCCGTGAGTGTGTGTCCTGACTTTGGGGATGGTTAGGAGTCTGCTGCCGGAGGAGCGCAGGGGCTGGGAAGGTTCATAGGATAAAAGCAAATCTGAAAGATAAGAAGGCCCAAGACCATTAAGACATTTAAAAACCATTAAAATAACCTTAAAATCGATCCTGAAACACACGGGGAGCCAATGCAGCGATTTTAAAACCGGTGTAATGTGGTCCCGCCCCCTGGTCTTAGTCAGGACACGTGCGGCCGAGTTTTGAAGTAATTGTAAACCTGAAATGTTCTTTTTGGGAAGACCAGAGAGCAGGGCATTACAGTAGTCAATGCGACTGGTGATAAAAGCATGCATCAGCGTCTCCGTGTTGCCCCGAGAGAGAATGGGGCGGACTCTGGCGATGTTCTTTAAATGATAAAAACCTATTTTTGTGATGTTCTTGATGTGAGGAATAAAAGTCAGCTCAGAGTCAAAGATTACGCCCAGGTTTTTCACTTGTGATGATGGATTAAAAGAGTGTGATTGGAGTTTCGGTAAAAGTTTCTCTCTCTGGGCCTCAGGGCCGATGACTAAAACCTCAGTTTTGTCCTGGTTGAGCTGGAGAAAGTTTTCTGCCATCCAGGATTTTTGTCAGGTCTAAAATGCAGTTAAAAAGAGCCTCCATTGGCCTGGTGTCGTCAGGAGACTGAGCTTATTCACCTTTTAAACAAGAAGCTTTTCAACCATATTCTAACTTTGTTCTGTGGAAACTTATCTGTCACACACAGTGATGACCGAACATTGATCAGACTCTGCTCAGGTGTGAGGTTTTTTTTACAGAACAGGGTCGGAAAGGGCGTCCACATTACCTTCACTGTAAAGGGGCGTTTTTCAGAACTTGGCTCCTGCGGTAATGAATTGAAGTTTGATTGATTTTGTTAAATAGACTCTTATGGTTTTGTGAAAATGTTGTTTGCTGCTCATCTTTTGCATCTGTGTATATTATTTACATACGTTTACATAATGAAGGTATTTCCACCAAGTAAAACATTCTCTGGTAAATTCTCTGGTGGATTTCTCAGAACAAAGTTGATAATAAAAATGCATCCATCCATCCATTTTTTTCCGCTTCATCTGTTGCCAGGTCGCGGGGGCATAAAAATGCGTTAGTTTTATATAGTGCTTTTCAGACAGTCAAAGACACTTCACATGGCACGATTTTTTCACTCCAGACACTGTGATTTTCTACTACTGTGGTCACAACTGCCCTGAGGCACACTGACAGAAGCGAGGCAACCAGTACGTGCCATTGGTCCCTCCAACCACCACCCCTTCCAAAAAACCTTTTTGCCGCAGAAATGTTCAGTGAAACAGACAACATTTGGAGCCCTGAAACTTGGTAAAAGACAGATAACTAAAAACAGTTATAGATTAAAGAAAAGAAAAAGTGAAATGTTTGCGGGAAGCCGCTTTTTAGACAGTGCCCTGGATTTAGGAGCTCATAACTACCATTTTATTGGGAAATTAGTGCACAGCTTTTGAAACAATAAGTGATAATGATTGTGCATTTTTCACTGAAGAAAAGGGATAAACAAATATAATGGGGCTAAAAATAGCGTTTCAGAACCACGGACAGCTCCACTGCACTTTTTAGCGTTTCTGAATAAACCCGTGGCAAATCCTCAAGGTTGTCAAAATCAGATATTCAACAAAACTAAACCTAGAATTGAAACAAAATACTAATTTTTAGCAGTAAATATTCTAAATAGCATTGTCCATATTTGACAATAATTGATCATTTTTAGATACATTTTAAACTATATCAGAAGTACATGCAAAAAAACTATGTGGCTCATGAAAAGTAATGTCCATAAAGAGTATATATAATATCCCTGTCCCTGTGTCTCACCGTGAACTCTCGCAGGTTCTCACACTTGTGGGAATCCTCTCCGTGGGTCTGCACCCGCACACACAGCCGCGTGTGGAGCCACATGAGAAGGTACCACACCGACTTGGGACTGGGCACGATGTTGAAAGGAGGAGGCAGCGTCCCGCCTTCGTCAAAGTAACTCATCCACAACTTTGTCCTTGCAAACTTCCACTCAATGTCGGCATGATCCTGGACAAAAAACATCCAGATTCTGTGTGTCAAAAAACTATAATAACTAATATGTATGTTTATTCAAATACTATACTTAAAAATGTTTGTTCCAAGAGAAAGAGTCTTGTGTAAGTAACTTTTTGAAAATCATAAGTCAAAATGCTGCCTTTATCTCAGATGTTAGCTTCCATCAGGCTCAGATCAAGAACATTTTAACACTGAGAACCTTCCCAGAGTTTCCCAAACTGTGGCTCGTGAACATTCAAAGCTGCAGTCACAGTGTGCTGTTAATGTATTTGTTGTCATGTCTGTAATGACCTGTATTCACTTCAATTCAACTCAATTTATTCTTGTATTGCCCTACAGTAGTTTTTTTTCCGAGGACTTTACAAAACTGTTGAATTCGCCAACACGGATCAGAGAATCAAACAGTTCAAACACAAGAAACACAATGATAAAAAAAACACATTGATTGGTCCGTACTGAGCAATGCTGCTACAGTCAGATCTCGCACCATCTACGTCTCCAGAGATGAGGTGTTCATTGCTATTCATCCACTGTCTGTTTATTCTGTTTTGTAGCGTAATCATGGGACCGCTGAATCCAGCCTCTTTCATCTGCACCTGTAGACTGATCTCCCCCGGCCCGGACTGGTGGGATGCACCGCATGGGGATGAGTGGATCCATCTCTAGATGTGGGCCTCCCGGAGGTTTCTCACTTTTTCCCACAGGTTTTTTGAGTTTTTCCTTGCAGATGCAGGAGGGTCTAAAGACATCGATGATCCGGGACATTTAAGGACATTGACCATCCGTTTCCTATGGACCAATTGCTACTGTTGTGATTTAGGGCTTTACAAAAATATATTAAAATGAATTGAAATGATGGTCCATAGCCTTCACTGTCCTATCACTAAAACCTGTAGAGACCCATGTGCGAACGCCTTATGGTTTAGAGTCTTACTGCGATGAGCTGGTAGGAGTTGTTCATCATGGCGATCAGCATGTTGAGCAGCACCACGAGTGAGATGATGTTGTAGGTGCCAAACATGGTCGCACCCACAAACTCTGTGAACTCATGTCTCGCTTTGACGTTTGTGACGTACAGATTCAAGAGGCCGAAGATGGACCAGAACAGGGACTGGAGGGTCTCGAACAACCTGCAACAGAGAAAGACAAGACCCAACAGTTATCTTTGCACTACACCTGTTGCATTCATGTGATAACACTACATTCTAAAGTACATATAGTTTAACATTGTGGTGGATGGCAGCTGTATAATGAACTACGGTGTCTATCAAAAGTGATGTTTCTAGTCTTTAGAGCTAATTTCTCTGTAGTTCCTGAGCCAATTCATATTAAACCAAAACTGTTGCCAAGTTCTGCATCTTCTTTGTCAGGACATATCAACAATGCACTGCAAAACGTGACGAGATTTGGCAAAATGTATCCTAATTTGAGCACGTCTTAGAACAAGATATGCAAATGGGACAAGCAACATTATCTTGTCTTAAAAAGACACAAGAACTGTCACACTTGGAATGAGAAAAAAACATTTCTGGATGATCAATATTAATGATACTAAATGGTAAATCTTGTTTTAAGACGGTCAGAATGTTCTCAAATTAAGACAAAAACCACTCGATTCAACAATCATTACCTGATATTTTATCATCTCTTGCGTTTTATAGAGGTGTCTAAAAGTGGTGATAATATTGAGAGGCAGAAGAAAGGACTTTCAGGCATAATAATGAGATTCTGTGTTTGTGAATGAAATCTCTGTCAAATCAAGATCTGGGAAAACATTTGGACATTTTATTCTTCAACAATTCTTTCAAGAATTGCTTATTAGTCATAGATATGTATTGGCATTTACCCTCCAACTGAGATAGAATTCTACTACAAGAACGCAACCTATTAGCTTTATGCAATATGTTCTCGATAATGTCCTTATTTTGTATCCGTCCATTTTCCCATCATACACATTTATGGAAAAATGGACGATTACATGAATTTTCCTCACTGTGAGACAAATAAAGCTTAATCTTAATAACCCCAGAAAACCCTCTATATCTATTCCGGTTGCCAGATTAACAGACAGCTTGAATTTTGAGCACCAGTAGTGGACTAAAGCAAGCCAAATATGATGCAAAACTGTAATAACAACTTTAGTTTGAAAACGAGCAGGCCCCTTTTTATGAATTTTAAAAAAGTTCTCTCAAGTTATGTTAAAAAGCCTGCACTTGACTGAAATCCACACAAGATATTGCCTTCTGAACCCGAGTGTAATATTTGTCTTTTCTGACAATGTGAAATCATTGTGTTTTTGTGGCGCTCTCTCGTCTTTCTCCTCCTGTCTCTCTCGCTCTCTCTTTCTCTGATGTCTCTGTATTTAGGGCTGGCTCGTTATTGAATGAATTTTGATAAAGGAACAATGGCTGCTACATCACGAGAGAAGAGAGCGAGAGAGAGAGACGGGGAGAAAGGCGGCGGTAATATTCCAGCCACATGAAATATTCAGCAGGGCGAGTGAGCGATGGTGTGAGGACGCGTTAGCACACGAGGCTAATGTCGCCGCTCGCTGTTGTTTGGGTTTTGTAAACGGAAGGGCATCGGAACTCAACAGACCGCGATGCTGCTCTGTGGAAGAATAAGAGTCTGCTCCAGGGATGATGCATTATGAATGGAGGAGCATGATGCACCATTACCTTATCAAAACACGAACGTTAAAGCTGGGGGACCTGACTTTCAAACTATGAACTATGTCATGCAATCAGTCGCTCTCAAAGCAGTTCAGTTCTGACACTTTTTTTAGGTTTTAGGTGCATGTGTTTTTTGGCCTCTGTCAGATCTTTAGCTGAGCCTTTTCAACCAACCAAAGGGAAAAAGACAGAACCACCCTCACTCAGCCCAAAGTCTTAAAGAGGAAATATGATTCTTTATTTTTGGCCATTGAAAATTATAACGAGACGATTTACTTTGTTCTTAAAGGTTTTAGAGTGTGACATTTCCTGCGGTTGATTCTCTGAGCTGTTGTTGATGAATTGACAAGACGACTGCTGTTGTGATTTAGGGCTTTACAAGAATACAATAATAACTTGAGCAGAAAATATGTGATGAAACAAGTATCAAGGGTAAATAATGAGCTTGTAACTCCCTATATCACCACCAGAGGGCGGAGTAGCAATTTTGTTTTTCAAAGTTTCAACAAAGCCATTTTCCGCACCTTCATCAATATGCATAATGGCATTTTTAAAAATTCCCCTACTGCTTGCTAGCAGATTAGCGATACCCATCCCATGTTTATTTTCAATCTAAAAAAAAAAAATCAATATTGGAATGAAGACAGAAATGTTGTAAAAAAACGAGGCAACAAAATTAGTGTAAAAACTCAAATCTGCCATAAAAACAAGCAGGCCTTTTGTTATTAAAAAAAGTAATAGCCCTTCAGTGATTTCCTGGGGAGAACCACCACGCTGTGAAAGATATGAACGATTTCTATTATGAAAATTTCACCAAATTTTCCATTTAAACTTTCACAAAGTTAAAACGTTCTTTTGAGCTGAAAAGAACGGAAACTTCTCTCTCACACCTTTGAAATTTCCCCAAAGAGTTAAATTGATCGGACATTTGAAACCACAGTGGGTTCCGCGGTGGGCTGTTGAGCTCCATTAGCGATTTCACTTTTAATCCTTTTCGGTGTGACTTGAATAAGACAATATTTAAGAAAAGCAGTAATGAAACAATGAAATCATTTTTAAGAGGACTGAGAGAAAAAAGGACAGTACAATTAGGATCTAAATGAGCAATGTTTATGTCTGTGATGATGACATTTTCTAAACACGACCATTAAAGCCTATTTCCACTTCAGGGTGTTTGCATGACCTACTTCCAGATCCTGACTCACTGGCGTTATTTATTCGTTTGAAAACTTTGACGAGAAAAACAGAACGTTCTATTTGCTCTTACCGACATGTCTTTAAACTACTATCACATAAATGTTTTTCATGTCATTAATGGTAATCCCCAAAGCTTCTTGTTTCAAAGTCTACATCATGAATAACCCTCGGCCTTGAGCTAGATTTGAATACGACTTGACTAACAATGTTATAAAAAATGTGTTGTTTGGGCGGGAGCAGCTGCAAGGTTAGAACTCTTTCCTCTCCGCTCAAAGGTCGTGGATCTAACTCCTGATCGACACATATCTGAGTGTAGTTTGCATGTCAAGTAAGTAAGTAATGTTTATTTATATAGTGCATTTTCCAGACCAAGGTCACCCAAAGCGCTTTTTAATGTTCAGAGTTTAGATAATTTGACTATTCTCTCCACACACAGTAATGACGAGAGCGAGACATTTCAGACCTATTGAAATGTGTTTAGTGGGAGGAGAAACCTGCACAGACACAGGGAGAACATGCAAAGTCCGCACAGAAAGGCCTGGAGGTGAAATCGAGCCAATAATACCTCCTTGCTGTGAAAATCAAGCTCTAACCGCTGGTCTCCATGTGTCTGCCCTGGTTTCTTCCTGGTGCTCTGGTTTCCTCTAATATCCCTAAAAACATGTAAGGACATTTTGGAACCTCAATAGTAAAATGTAGGCAAAGATTAAAGTAGAGGTATTATACTAAATTGACTTTTGACCAGTTTATAACATTGTCCTCCTCAAAAACAGAGAGTTGTTTTAAGATCCAGGCATTTCCAGCACAAACATGTGACTCCGCCCCTTCTGTGTAAAAGCTCCTGTCACAGTATCACTATGACATCACACTTAGACTGCTTTTTGGCCTTTTAAAACAAAAATATTGCCCATGGATTAGTTCTCACATGAAATTAGGTTTTTTACCTGTTTGAAGCCAATCCTTTTGAATATGTGGGGAAAAACAAATATAAAGAGTCACAGGCTGGAAACATATTTGTTTCCTACAATACTTTCTCTTGAAGATATTTATATATTTTATTTATTTATTTGATCGGGACAACACACATTAATGAACATTCATATACAAGTTGTACACAAATTATAAATGCGCCAGATTGTAGCAAAACTGCTAACTTACTAATTTAACTTTCTAAAACATGAAATGACACAGTAATAGTCTCATTCATAATCATTTTGTCAATTTTTTCTGGTGAAACTTCTCAGTCTTGCTCCGTAAGTTGTTGGAAAAAATTAAAAGTGAGAACAAAAGTACAGTCCATAAGCAACAGTAGATCTGACCTTTACAAAATGGACAATCGCAAGACATAATATTGAAGCGCACCGGCCTTTAAGGTCACGGCAACTTCAGTCACGTCTCTGTCGTTTGGACTAGCTAGCTAACACCTGTGGATTAGCGTCGTTTGCTGCTCCGCATGTTTGCTCTGTCTTCATTCTGTCTGGAAAAAAACTGTAAAACTGACAATAAATCGTCCATGTTATTCTGGTGCGTAAAAATCCCATCTAAAGTCTCTCCTTTCCAACACTCCTCTCTCTCCTCAGTAAAGTTTTAAAGCAGCGCTATGTAATTTTAGTGCAGAGGGTTCGTAAAAATGTGACGGTTTTACATACACACCGAGCAGTGGGAGACTCCTGTCAGGGCAATATCATTTTCTGAAAACAGGTTAGAGACAGGCCCTGCAGTCATACACCTAACATACATTGATGGGCAATTTGAGGTACAGAAATCTATAGCTTTCATTATGCATTTTATCAACTGTTTATGGTGCATTTCACACACACACACACACACACACACACACACACACACACAAAAACAAAATACCTCCCCAGATGCATTGTATTTTCACGAGACACAACAAAATGAATAGTAATTTGTTTAGTGTTGCAGGGGTCTGGTCAGGGCAGAGTGAGAGGAGGCTGCGAACAGAGGTGCAGGGAAGAAAAGAGGGCTTTGTCGTATGTGTGCGTATGTGTGTGTGTGTGTGTGTGTGTGTGTGTGTGCGTGAGGTGTGGATGAGCTGCCACATTAGAAAAAGCGCTAAGAGAGTGTGAAGTAGAGATGAGAGGAGATGAGAGGAACGGGAGCAGACTGCGACAGAAAAGACAGAAAAAAAAAAACCTGATTAAGTCCAGAGAACGTCAAGATGTTGTTGTGGTTTGGGGAAGTATAAAAATGTGGCAGTTATTACATTAAAATATGCAATTGTTTTCTAATAATATGGCTGCGATCTCGCGATTTCATGCCAGAAGATCTTGCGAGATGATAATGCTACAAGATGGTGTCTACCCAAGTGGGACAGTGTGAGTGTGAGAGACTATGGTTAAAGGGACGGTATTGGTGTCGTAAAGTCGGCACAATTACAATACCATGTTTGCTACCAGAACCTTCCTACCTGTGTAAGCACTGATCACTGATGCAGTCTATCTCCTGGAGTTTAGCTAGAAACGGCACGACTCTATCTAAAACAAAAATATTACATATAGTTGCTTAAAATCTGTCTCTGGGGGCGGATTCCTCTTTCAGCCTTCCTGAGGTTTCTCAATTTCTCCCACTTGGTTTTTGAGTTGTTCCTTTCAGATGCAGTAGGGTCAAAGAACAGATGATTCAGGACATTTGAGGACATTTATCAACATTCATGGATATTGCTCATCTGCCCCTTATGGACCAATAGCTTATACATGTATGTGTTATTGTTGCATTTCCTGTGTTTGATTGAGATGTTTGATTCTCTGATCTTAGTTGGCGAATCGACCACTTTGTAAAGTCCTTTGAGATGACTACTGTTGTGATTTAGGGCTAAACAAAATACATTGAATTGAACTGAAATGTATTAAACCATGGAAATTGTGATTAGTGCTCCTTTCAACCATACTTTGACCAAAGAATGTGGATCTATAATGGAAAAAATTGCTTCTTGTCTCATTCTTGTTGACTCAATTTCGTCTTGTCCCTCCCCTAAACAGTATAGTTTTGCTCTTGCCAAGTAATACTCTAAGGGCTCTATTCAACCCATTTTACCAAGATATTAAAATGAAAATGAAACAAGTCTTTCATCAAAATTATCAAAGGACCAGAACCAACTGCCGCTGACTCTGCAACTTCCACTTTTCCCATTCGCGGTCCGCAATTACAAACATATTGATTTCTGCCTCTCGTCCCAAACATTCGTCTCATATTTTGGCTCATGATGTGGTTTTGTCTCCCTGCGTCATCACTACTGCGTTCACTTTCCTCGGATTCGGTCGATACGACATCAATACCACTATTATCTCTCCACGTGCGATTGGCGGTGGCTCTGCTTCACTCAGCAAACTCAGGTCTCCAGATCAGAGCAAGAAACCGAGGAAAGTCACAAAGGTTTTAACAAGATATAAGAACTGCATATTCACTGGTCTTATGATTATATATATGAAACCCAGACTTTTAAACCCAGCTCATAGAATAATCAATGACACTTCTGGTCCCTGGAAAAGTCATGTTCTAGCTTCTTCCCTCTGGTAGAAGATATCGTCCATTGAGATCCATCTGGATACGTTAACAGCTTCTTTCCACAAGCTTTTATTTTAGCGATCTTACACGTGTATTGAAACTATTTTTGTTGATTGATTTCACAGTGACAAATGTTTCCTGCACTGTTTTAGTTTGTTTTATTCCTGCCCTTTTAACCTTTTTTATTATTTAGGTACTTTCAAATTCCAATTTTACAGCAAAGGGCAAGAAAAATTAATCTGAATCTCATATTTACAATGAAATATATTTACAATTTAATATATTTAAAAATATGTACAATAGGTCTGGCATGTGCCTCCTGTACTGGCCCCAATCCCAAAAATAACAATTGTAAACCGCTTTGAGACTCCGATGTGCAGTGAAAAGGCGGTATATAAATAAAGATTACTACTACTACTACTACTATTTACATGAAAAAATTATAGGCAATAATCTAGTTTTATATTTTCCTTTTTTCCTTTGAGGCCTTGCGTGTAGAATAGTTCATTACTTTGATTTTATTCTTGAGGACATGGAATAACTCAAGTTGCAGGAGGGTCTATGGACGCGGGATGATCCAGGACAATGATGGACAATTGACTTTTAGGAGTTTTATTGCTGTATTTCTAATGCATAGTGTGATTTCTCATCTTCTGTTGGCGAATCAACCTTTGAGGCGACTGCTGTTGTGATTGTGTGAGCTGTAGTGTCAGAGTTTGAGCTGAGTGAGGTTATTTATCATGATTCATGCCGTTTTAAAGTGTTACCAATATAACTTCAAGCATGGCGACCTGACTTTTTATTTGTCCATTGGTCCAATTTTTCCCATCAAAACTTAAAGAAGCTATACCCGATTTTTTTTCTAAGTAGTTCATAAAAATGCTTTTTACTACATACAAGTTGTATCATAATACATAATTTAATTGAAAACTTGAGGTCATTGATTCCACTGTGTATGAAATTCAGGCAGTGAAAAGTGCTGAGTATAGTCTGAGCGGGCCGCTCGTTCTCCTCCGCTCACAGAACAAGAAGCGACCAGCCTGCGTCCTCTAGCCTCTACAGCGCTGCGGAACACCAGGGCTTCGACTTCAAAATTAGAATATAATTCTAAAATAAAAAATATATACATATTTAAACAAATATTAGACAGCCCTTATAATTAGAAATGTATTTAATGACTGCAAATAAAATAGTTAGCTCCCAAAGGTTTCACCGGGACGTGCTAGGCAGGTAACAGCTAAGCTAGCTAGCTGTTTCATGGTAACTTCCGGGGTTTTTCGCGATCGCTTTTTGTCACTTTAAAACAGTATTTTTGTCATGAAAACGTTGACAGCAAATTCTGAAATCGTCCGTGCATGTGTGTTAAGGATGTATATGTGTACTGTATTGTCCGATTGACGTTTAATGGTGCTGATTGATAGATATGTATTTGTTTATTGAGCGTGGCTAGCTCCGCTAGCTTCTCTACACAGACAAGTGTGCAGAAAAACTGCACAATGTAGAGACAGGCGCTGATAGCTTGTTGTACTTGCAAAGTAATGGCAGTATTTTACACACCTGAATTACAAACAGAGATTGCATTGGGGCTGCGGTCATTATTGGTTTGAGAGTTCTGTTATCAAGAAAAAATGATCGGAAGAATTGCATTCAAGTCAATGGAGTGCTGCTGCTGTGAGGAGCTGTATAATAAATTATAATTATATATTAGAATATATTCTAATGTTTAAATGAATACATCCGGACGCGAAACGAATGGTATTCTTTTACTTATATATTGTGTTAGCAGTGCGTTGCTTTAGTACCATTTCATCAGTGATTGTTGCACAGCTTACAAGAAGTTGCGCTAATGCTAATGTTAGCATACGTATCAGATCGCAAATAAAACTAGGTGGCTCCGTGTTATGAGAGCGTAGGGGAAATGAGAAGCCATTGAGCGAGTTGGGGGGCGGTGCTAAACATTCAAACATTGCAGAAACGGGTATAGCGCCTTTAAGCAGAATTTGTGTGAACATGAGCTGGTAATAAAGTCTGTAAAAGCCATACTAGATAAACTAGAACAACTACAACGAAATCCCAAACATGAATGCCATTGACGTGTGCGATGGCCGCAGATATGAGTCCATCATCAGGTGGCGTGGCTTTAGAGCGAAGAGAAACCCAGACTCACGTGGAGAATGCGTTGTTCTGTCTCTCACAGCGGATCCCTTTGCAGTTGTTGGGTTCCTCGGCCGCCGTCGTCTCGTAGTAAAAGTACAACTGGTTCAGACCGTTGGCAAAGGCCAGCAGCACCTGCACACAACCACACACACTTCAGACAAAACTGCATAAGGAGATACTTTGCTGAGAGATGTACTGTTCTCTCCTCTCTCCTACTTTAACTGTCATCAAGATTCAAGAATTCAAGAATTTATTTGCCATTTGCAGTAAAACCACATTGGAAAAACTGTGCAAAACTATCTATAGATAGACATAGAAGATAGTGCACACCAGGGCTCCTGCCACTACAACATTTCGACCATTGTCTTGTCTAAATCCGCAGAGGTCGAGTTCTCGTCCTACAACCTGAGTCCTGAATCTATAGCCTGTCCGTTTGTAGGAGCAGACTTTTCATTTTTTATTTGTCGTTCTTTGCCGATGTGTCTAAGAACAGAGGTAACCAGCTGCACCTGAAGAAGTCTCAGAAGCCAAGGAAGTCAGGGCCTGGTTAGTACTGTAATGGGAGACTTCTGGAATCACCAGGTGCAACAGAGAGGCAGATGCGGCTGTATAGTGCTTTGCTTGTCTTCTGAGAGGTATTAAGATTAGGGATGTACCGAATCCAGGATACGGCCAAATATTGGCTTTTTTGACGGGGTTCGGTTTCTGGCCGAACCTTATAATTTTTCCCCACCGAACCCAAACCCTGCACTTACACTATGCGCGCTGTGGCTGTTGGATTCGTCACGGAAATCAAATTTGTTCGGAAGTGTAAATAAACATGCACTTTAGCGGAGGTTTATATCCTCTTGCTCTCTGTTCCTCTTTGGGTGCACTGAGGTCTCTTCCTGGTCATGTGATCCCCGCGGTCCAATTATCTCTAGTCATATGCTGGCGCGAGGGGATGTTATGATTCTTGTTTTCACCTGTAATGCGGTTCTGATGGATCATAAACTAACTTCCTATTCACCAACTTTATGGAGCCGATTACCAGTGCCAGGTACTTGTCATCTGAGCTGCGTATGACTGTAGAAGCAGAGTTGGTGAATCCATGTTTAGGCAACTAGCCTCTTAGCATTAGCTTCTCTCAACTTGTCTCCGACGAGTTTGGCACATTTCTCAAATGTCCATATATGTAATGGGTTGACCTGAACCAGTGGAAGCTATTTATGCATGTATGGTGCTTTAGCTCTTATTTTTACATGACATGCACAGTAATATATGTACTTTATCTCTGAAGTTTTACACTGCTGTGAACTGAATGTTTTTGTGTTTGATGATAAACGGGATTATTATAAATGTTATAATAATAGATTCAGGTCGAGCTACATGTCCAATTTGCAATGCCGATTTGTCTCGTGGTGGTAAGACCCTAAACAGTAAACAACACCGCCGCTGTTAAAACATTTGCGTATGAAACATCAATGGACTGAGGATGGCATAGGATTCGGTATTCGGGTTCAGATTCGGCAAAATCTTAACCAGTGGATTCGGTATTCGGCCGAACCCCAAAAACCTGGATTCGGTACATCCCTAATTAAGATGCAGCTGGTGCCACATACTGTACAATATACAATAGAAATAGATATAGAGTATAAGTGTTTGTTAATGACACTGATTATTAACAAATGTGCGTAATTTCTTTCCATGTATCAAATTGAAATAATTGTTTCCTGATCGTAAATCTGCCATTTATTTTTTGCGTAATGTCAATATTGACTCGCTTTCAAAAAAGCCTGGAGTTCTTTTCTCTCTCCCCTTTTTACCAATTGCTTTCAATAAGTTTTTCATTCCATTGCGACGTCCTCGATGCTTCATCAGTGCCGTGCTTTGCATAGATCATAGCCACAGGTCATGCAAATCACACACCACTTCTTTTATTTGAATGGTCTGAAGTTAAAGCAAAGCCCTAATCACAGATGCACGTCTGACGGAGATGCGGCCGGTTGAGTCCAGCACTTAAGCACAGAACAAGTAGCGGGAGAGTGGTGTAGGGTCGGAGGGTGTTTGGACCTGTGTGCTACCTTGTCTTATACATCGGGGATAGTATTATATCTCTGTTTGTACTTGTGATGTTTTTAGTTTTTTTTATTTTAAAGCTCAGTTGTATGCTTATGTACAGTTGTATGCTTGAGAATTCTACAGCATGTAGTTGTAAAAACAGTTTATGTGTGATGGGGGGTTGGAATCCAATAATCATTTGCTTCATCTGACCCCTTTTCGAACCAGGTACAAGTTTAATTTGTCTGTTATACTGATATATGTATAAATAATAATCGTGCAGGTTCAAAATAAATACATAAATAATAAAATGATTGACCTATAATTCAACAAATAATGAATGGTCGAATATAAATATAGACTGACCAGGCAGTAGATGAAGAGGAACTTGAGGATGTCCAGCACCATGCGTCCCAGTGAGATCTGCAGAGGGCCCAGGTGGGAGTTGGCGGTGAACAGCGAGATGAGGCGTAACGAGCTGAAGATGTTGGCGATGGCAAACAGCGCCTCCGCGATCAGCGTCGGGTGCCACATCTCCCACTCCTCCCGCGGCCGCGACGAGTTGTACTAAGGGGGGGGGGGGGATGGGGGATCGAGAGGGGGAGGACATAAGGAGAAAGCAGAGATTAAAGAGTGTCAGAAGTCAGATACATGTGTGGTTATGAGGCATGGAACTAAAGAATGTGATGGTCTTTGGTTATGAATTGCTCGCGTTGTGAACAAGAATTGCTTATTAGTTTATATTAGCTTCAGAGAGCTTTCCCATCTCTGCAGTGTGAAGGAGCTGATGTCATGATCAGTACTTACTAATATCACAATACACTTCAGATCATATTCCTCAGATATGTACTGTCTCGTTATGGTGCATAGAACATGGAGGACAAAGAGCCTGATATCATATCTAAAGTCAGAAGGATTTAGGATTTAATATGTATAAGACAAAAGTGCTGGGAAAGAGCCCTGTGTGTTCTTGCTAACAGTTTTTATAGTGCTAAACTGTGTGTGTATGTGTATATATGTGTGTGTGTGTGTGTGTGTGTGTGCGTGTGTGAGAGAGAGAGATCGAGGGTTTGGATGACGTCTTCACAAATGTATCTGAAGGTGGCTTTATCTTCAGTCCGGGAAAACAGAGTGTGTCCTTCTGTCCTTGAGGTCACAATAATGTGTTGTAATATAATTCTATGTGTGTAAATTACTGTTCTTTACTCTCTACTCGCATTAATACATCCCAAAAGTCATGTTTACATAAAGTATCTACTGTGCAATCACGTTTTGTTGTTATCTTTTGCCTGATATGACTTGACTATATCTGTCCACCTTGTACTTATCTGTGTGCATGCCTGAAATAGATAAATACATATCAATATATATAAACAAAAACATAGATATAAGATAAGTTTTATATGTGTACTGATATGGTATTGCGAAATATCTTCACAGTACGGAATATGATAATATTTTTATGATTTGTGAGCTAGAGTAGTACTTGCAATGCTGCAGACCTCCGCCAAAATGTGCAGCTCGATTTCTTCCAGGAACCAGACAGTTATCCGACTCATAACAAAGTCAGTGACGCGAGTAGTGAGTGCTCAGGTGCTCATAGAGGATCTGAGCGATGTGAGGTAAACTTTAAGGCACGAGGAAGGAAGATCCAAAGCGCTCTTAGCTACTCATAAAATTGCTTTAATTAATAATAAAACATACCGACGTGTCTTGGATTTCTTACAAGCCTTAGAAATGAATAACTCTAACAGGTGTTCTTTAATATTTTCATATCGAGTGACACATTAAACAGTAACAATCATGCAAATCTCAATGTGCATGAAAAATACCAAAGCCGTGGTCATTATGCGCCTGTATGTCTTAGATATGTTTTTTTCATAAAACATTGTGCATTATCCCCTTCTTCTGCAAAGGTTATCTACATCATACAAGCTTCGTCCTCAGAAGGGGCAGGTCCGGGATCAAACTCACATCCGGCTAACCACTCAGCCATTGTGCAGGCGTTACACATTAAGAACATTAAGAACAATTACAGGATCCTGCAGGTACGGGGGTCCTGACTGAGTGGGTGTAATGACTGCTGTCAAAGAATGTCACCTGCAGCGGCAATATATCGAGGGTTTGACATTGATGTATCCTTCTCCCTTTTTCTGATCACTTCCAGATGGATGTGCCTCAATGTAGAATCAAGAATAAGTCACAAATGTATCTACACGTCTTGTTTTAATAGTTTGAGAATCTAGTTTGTACTCCTAGACTTTGAAATTATGTTAAAAGTCCACTTGTCTGAATGTGTTGTACACTAAATGAGGATTGAATTGTTGATGATATCATCGACAGCCCTGTCCTTCACCTGTGCTGCGCTTGTGTGGAGGTCCCTGTGTGTGTCTCTATATGTGCGTGTATGTGTACGGTACTTGTGTGTGTACGTGCGTGCATGCATGTGTACATGTGTGTATGGTGCGGGTGTGTGTATGGTGTATGTGTATGTGTGTATGGTGTGTATGTATGGTACGTGTGTATGCGCATGTGTGTATGGTGTGTGTATGGTGTGTGTGTGTGTATGTGCGTGTGTGTATGGTACTTGTGTGTGTGCGTGTGTGTGTATGGTACATGTGTATGCGCATGTGTGTATGGTGTATGTGTAGGCAAGGCAAGGCAAGGCAAGTTTATTTGTATAGCACAATTCATACACAAGGCAACTCAAAGTGCTGAACAAGATAGCATTAAAATCATAAATAATCACAGAACATTAAAACGAAAGATAAAAATATAAAATCCCTCAGTTGTATGCACAGCTAAACAGCACCGTTTTTAACTTGGCTTTAAACATTGTCAGAGAGGAGGCCTGTCTCACATCTTCAGGAAGACTGTTCCAGATTTTAGCAGCATGAATCTGAAAAGCTGCCTCCCCATGTTTAGTTCTGACTCTGGGCACTAACAGGAGTCCAGTCCCTGTGCTCCTCAGAGTCCGGGCTGGTTCATATGGGACTAACATGTCACTAATATATTTTGGTGCGAGGCCATGGAGAGACTTGTACACAAGCAGAGCTGTTTTAAAGTCTATTCTCTGAGCCACAGGAAGCCAGTGCAGAGACCTGAGAACTGGACTAATGTGGTCGTACTTCCTGGTTCTAGTCAGGACTCGAGCTGCTGCATTTTGAATGTACTGCAGCTGTTTTACAGCCTGTTTGGACAGACCTGTGAGCAGGCCATTGCAGTAGTCTAACCTACTGGAGACAAATGCATGGATAAGAATCTCCAGGTCTGCTTTAGACACTATGTTTTTGATCCTGGCAATGTTTTTTAGATGGTAAAAAGCTGCTGATGTTACTGATTTGATGTGGCTATTAAAATTTAAGTCTGAGTCCAGTATTACCCCTAGATTTCTGACCTTGTTTGAAGGTTTTAGGGAGAGAGACTGTAGATGACAGATGACGCTCTCTCTTTGTTTCTTGGGACCAAAGACAATCATTTCAGTTTTGTCTGCGTTTAGCTGAAGGAAGTTGTTTTGCATCCACTCACTGATCTGTTGGATACAGTGAAGGAGTGAGTCCACTGGTCCATGTTCTCCTGAGTGTCGTCTGCATAGTTGTGTATGTGTGTGTGTGTATGGTACGTGTGTGTGTGTGTGTGTGTGTGTATGGTACATGTGTATGGTGTGCCTGTATAGTACTTGTGTGCATGTGTCTGTATAGTACATGTGTAAGGTGTGTGTGTGTGTGTGTGTGTGTGTGTATGGTGTGTGTGTATGGTACATGTGTATGCGCATGTGTGTATGGTGTGTGTGCGTGTGGGAGGGCATGAGTGACTCAGAGAGCCGCACATGGACACTCCGTCTGCTCCTCCGCTTTTAATAAAAGCATAAATCTGCCTCAGACGCAGCTGAAAACTGACACCTCTCAAATGTAATCGCTCAGAGATAAACGGTCAATCCATTAAAGGGTCAAAGAGAAGCTGCATTTAAAGCTGCTTTTTAGACATGCTTTTTTGGCCGTGATTACGAATAAGTGACTTTTTATTTAAATGTATTGTTTCTATTTCTATGGAAACAAATGAGCAGAAAAAAAACATCAAGACACTTCAGAAAACACTTTATATTGAAAAGCACTATTATTATTGACATTTATAAGGATTAAAACTTGACACATTGTTGCATTTACACATTCTCCACCGATTAACATTGAATTTAATCGGTATACATTATAAAGCAGGTGTCTTTGCATGTACAGTGGTCTCTCACTATCACCTGGATCAACTCTCGCTGTTTCTCTGACTTTTTTGTGTGCCATTTTTCCTGGTTTTAATAAAGTACAGTCTAACATCATATAACCGCTAGTTTAACACAACAAAAAAAGTATTTAAAAATACTTTTGTGGCTTCTGTGCACCGCTGTGATTACAACTGTGTTCCTGTAGCACTCAGTCCTGCCCCTCTGACTCTGTCCTCTGCTGCTGTATTTATTAATATATGCACGGCTTTTGACAGCTGCAGCAGTGCTCAGACCTACCACAAATAGGTTTGATATCACCGCAATTTCACCTCAGCAGTTGTGAGTTCAGGAGGTTTAAAAAATGAGTTATCTGCGTTTGAATCTTCTGGACCATCCCGACCGTGAAGCGGGCGACGGGGGCAAAAATATCGATGAAAAAAGTCAGCGCTGACAAAATGTCGTCCGCGTCTTCGGCCATCTCCTCTGGGATCTTTTCAGCGGCATTTCCCATAAAAGCAGCGGAACTGGACACACTTCTCCCTGTGTTTGCGTTTTTCTCGATTTTCTGGATGCTACTTTGACAAGTCTCCAGCTCTTTCATAATTTCGTTCAGTCTTTCCACGTTGGTTTTATAGTGATCGAGGAAGTTGGATATGGACTGGGTCAGTGTGGTTGGATCTGCGGCAGACGTGGTTGTGTCTTTGTTGCCTCTGTAAATATTTGAACGTTAAACCACCAACTTTGCTGTCAAAATAGTTTGACGTCTATGTCTTTAACATGTATGTATTTGCTGGCCTCTGTCACATTGATCACATAGACCTCTTAGATCTCTTTTTCAGACAGAACAAGAGAGGAAAAAGAGGAAAAAGAGAGGATCACCCTCAATTAGCCAATCAGCTCTCAGCCTGGAAGCATCACAATTCAACCGCATTACTATAAATATTTCAAACTTAGCATCCTAGCATCAAGATAACCCTAGAAATATATTTTTTTAACAAATGCAAGTTTTATATTTATAACAACGAGAGTGAAAGTAATTTACCTGTTGTCCCGACTGTGAGCTGCCACCCAAATGCTCAGAAAGATCCATAAAAACTCAGTTTCATAAAATTAGATAACAGCTGATTTATACTGTGGCCTTATCACGTCTAAGCTGCTCATTTTTACAACCTTTTTTTTTTATAATCAATTTTCATTTATGAAAGGCTATAAGAAAAGAAACCATTTGAAGCTGAAGTACTAAACTTATAGCTGTGTAACTAGTTTGTGTTCTTTTTTTTCTTTTTTTATTTAGACTTTATTAAGGACTCACATGCAAGCACAGGATCCATAGCTAAGAATAATGAGAGAAAAGTTAAAGTTGTGTATCCCATCGTCATTACCTTCTGTACAGAGATTCCCGTAAAGACAATGACTTTGATAGGAAACGAAATGCAGAAGTGATAAAGCTGTTATCTAGATCCTACCAAAGTGCAGCTGTCTGTGTCTGAGTCCATTCAGTCCAGACCACACTCTTGGCTCGGACTCGACTCTGAAACTACAGGTAAACTTAAACTGATCATCATTCTTTACTTCATTCACTCGATTCTAGTGACATCTGTGTTGCTCTGCGTCCTACATGTGGTGCTGTGACAGACATGGGTACAAAGAATAGTAAAAACAGCAGCGATCAGAATCATGAAGAATCAAGGACCAGGTTTGTCATTATTTCATCTCATTATCTTACGTCTCCTGCATTGCGCAAGTGCGGAGGACAGTACAGGCCGGAACAATACAATAAAGCAGCAAGAATCCTATGTATGTGTTGGTCCTCCTGGTCTCTGCAGATGGTGGGGTTGGACGCGGCTAAATAATAAAAAAAACAGTCAATCAGTCGACAATTACACACCTTCTTTACCCTTGACTCAATTTTGGATGAATTAAAACACACAGAACTTGAATCAAATTTGATCAGAACAGTCTACCAGAAACAAAAAAATGTTCTTCTGTTAAAATACCTTGATAATGTGAAATAAAATGTAGCGATTCGACCACTGAATGTAATTAAATATATTGTTGGTAGAGTGCCAAGATTTTTGTTGCCGGAGTCATCCAGAATTGTACTCTGTACACCACAGGTTGTTAGCGTATATTTCGGGCATGATATTATTCTTAAAAGTGCTATTGCAATTATGTTGTTGTTCAACTTTACCTCTATGTTATGCGCGTCGTTTGTGCACGAATGTGATACACCAGGTTTGTCAGTCGCTCGGTTTCACCGTGCGCCTCTGCCGTCCTCTGGCCCCGTTGTTGAGTTGGCGTTTCCTCTGCCTTTTTAACGCCTCCTCCGGTAACGTTCTTCGACCACACTGTCGAGCACCACAGTCTTTCGCCGGGCTGTGGATGTTTTTCAAAGTGCCGCAGGAGGACCAAGGGTAGCCCAAAGCAGGACGTTAGCATCTGTGGTCCTTTGAGGGTTGGTGAATAACCCAAACGTGCCGGTACTTTTGGCTTCATTTATGTTTTTGCGGTGCGGGAAAATTTCAAGGGGTTCGGCTTGTCGGGGTTGCTGTTTGGTATATCACCGCTGCCCTCCGTTGGTAAACAGTCAGGTGATTTGGATGCAGTTTCTCTCTCTTGCTCCAAAGCTGTTGTCGGAGTTATCACATATTTGTTTCCTCCGTGGTGTTCTTCTTGCTGTGGTTTCCCTGAGCTGTGTGTATGTTTCCGGCCTCTTCTTCTCTGCGGTTTGGGGCCCACTTCTCGGCGGTTGGTCTCTGCTGGTGCCGGGCGCCGCCTGTGGTCTGGGGCGTGGGGCTGGTGCTTTGAGGCTATGAGGACAAGACGCGAGGTAGGAAAGGCGCGCAGACGGGATAGGGAAGAGGGAAAAAAGAGAATAACAGTCAGTATGCTCCTTTTTTTAAAAACCCAACAGCCATTGTTTTGGGCGCGTACTTAGCATGGAGTTCTGCTCACCTAGTGTGAAAGGTGTGTGTTATGGGGAGACGTTCGAGTGGCGTGTTTGTTCTTGTGGTGTGCGCCTGTGTGTCTCCGCTTTGGTGAAAGGCGGAGGAGCTATTGTTTGTACATATTTCTCGTCTCTAACCTCTTTTGCCGTGATATTATTAAACCAAGGATATATATATTTTTTTTTTCTTCCATCCTCTTCTAAATTATCACGCAGATGACCTGCCACCATTAGGCAAGCACTTCATAGCTTGCATCTTCTGATTGGTTTTTACCCATTTTCTAGTACGAACCAATGGGCCTAACCCGTGTAGTCTCTCCTGCTCCTACCCACTTTGGGGCGCTCACGGTTCCGCCCCCCCGTGGTTAACAGCTTGATCGCGCGTTCTTGAAAACCGGAGCGGTTCTGGGCTGAAGACACTCAGAGATTCCATATGGGTCGTGTACAATGCGATACTAACGCGCAGCCGCTAGTTTCACTCCTAGAACAAAAAGCCCCCAAACAGATCCCGCACACAGACTATGCTGTGGCAATGAATGAAATACCCCAAATAATACATAAATAAACATAATCCGTTACACTTAAGTGCTGCCCTGGGCTCGTTCGCAGATGAAGACAAGAGCTCACCAAGATTAGGGTTCTTTTGGTCTTGTGTGGGCAAAAGGATTCCTTCCGTGCGCTGGGACGAAGCGCGCCTCCTTGTCTCAAAAAGGAACAGAGGCTGGTGATCCACGGTGGCCAAAACAAAAAGCGCTCGTCCCCGCGAAAGTAATCCATGCCAAAGACAGGTCAGCAACGCCCAAATTGTTATAGGAATTATATACCCCAGGAAGGAGAAAACTCAAAGGTCCTTTGTTGATCAAAAAAAAACAAGAAAAAAAAAAAAAAAAAAAAAAAAAAAAAAAATGAAGATGTAAGTTTTATTGTTAACCGCACAGTGCGGAGAGCCAGCACATACACTCCAAATGCAGCATGTTCCCAGCTCTGGGGGCCAGGAAGCCCGAGTCACTTCCTGTATACACGACACACACAAAGATTAGTCACGCCCACAGCACGGAGGGAGGGGGCATCGGTGAGGAGGCGCCAAAAGGTACAGCGCCTGCGCTAGTCCCTGTGGTGGCAGTGGGTCATGGGGTGTGACTGACAGACACATGGTGGAAGCATGTCATACCGATGCACAAGACGGAAAGACACCAAGGTTTGGTGAATGACAGCAGACATTCACATAAGTATCGTGCTTGGCGTCAGAAGGTCGTCTGCATTGATAAAAGGCTTTGGAAAGTCCGTGATATTTGCTTCCGCGGCTGGTTTTATGTAAATTTCTCCAAAAACTGTCTCCACAAGACGCTACAGGGACTCTTCAGTGGAGACTCACGAACATCTGCCTCAGTGGAGACACACGATATGCTCAGTAGAGACGATACGGATGCTGTTGGTAGGACGTTTGCTATGTAGAGACGCAACGGAGCTGCTCTGTAGAGACAATCGGACTGCTCTGTAGAGGGACCACACGGGATTACCTGCTCGGTCAGAGTCGACGGAGCTGCTCCGGTCAGAGACGCACAGGCTGTTCAGTAGAGTCGCACAGACTCTGTCAGTCGAGACGGCACGGATGCTCTGTTAGAGAGCTCGGATAGGCTCAGTAGAGTCGCACGGTTCTGCGTCAGTAGACGGACGCACGGACCGGTGTGCTCTGTAGGAGACGCACTGGACTGAGCTTTGCTCTGTAGAGACGCTCGGACTGCTCTGTAGAGACGCACGGACTCGCTCTGTAGAGACGCACGGAATGTCATCAGTCAGATGCGCACGGGAGCTGTTCAGTTGAACGTACGGACTGCTTGTAGAGCGCACGGACCTGCTCTGTAGAAGGACGCACGGAATGCTCAGTAGTGACGCGACGGATCCTGTTCAGTTAGAGACGCGACGCGAGCTGCTTCTGTAGAGACGCACGGACTGCTCTGTAGAGACGCTTACGGGACACGACTCGCCTCAGGTAGAGACGCCACGGAAAATGCTCAGGGTAGAGACGCACGGAGGCTTGCTCTGTAGAGTCACAAAAGGACTGCGTCAGCAGAGAAGCTGACTTTCAGTAGAGACGGCACGGACTATTCCGTAGAGACGCACGGACTCGCTCTGTAGAGTAAGCAAGATCGCTTCAGTAGAGACGCACGGGGACTTGACTCAGTAGATGACGCACGACTATTCAGTAGAGACGCAGCGCTGATGCTCTTATGCTTACTTGTAGTGAAGCCGAGGATCTGCTCTGGTAGAGACGCACGGATGTCAGTGGAGACACACGGACTGCTCTGTAGAGACGGCGGAAGGACTGCTCTGTAGTGACGCACGGAGGCGTCTGCTGGTAGAGACGCCACGGACAAGGTACGCCTGATCGGTAGGGACGCAAGGACTGCCTTGGTATAGAGACGCTCGGACTGTCTGCTCGGGTAGAGACACAAAAGATGTGTCAGCCAGAGTCGAGACGACTTTTCCAGTAGAGACGCACGGACTATTCAGTAGAGACGCACGGACTGCCTCTGTAGAGACGCATGGATTCGCTCAGTAGAGACGCACGGAATGCTCCAGTAGAGAGACGCCATCGGACTGATTCTGTAGAGGACGCACGGACTGCCTCGGTAGAGACGCACGGACTGCTCTTTGTAGAGACGCACGGGAGCCTGCTCTAGTGGAGACACCACGAGACATGCCTCAGTAGAGACGACACGGACTGTCAGTAGAGACGTTGCTCTGTAGAGCCGCACGGACTGCTCTGTGAGACACACGGACTGCCTCACTAGAGACAAACGGTCTGCTCTACTTGAGACACTACGGACCCGCCTCACTAGAGACACAAGGAACGGCTGCTCTGTAGAGACACACGGGACTGTCACTAGAGACACAAGGACGGACGTCACTAGAGACTCTGGATCTGCGCCGGCAAAGTCGAACGGGGAGGAGCAGGAGCGGAAAATGTGATGCACGCAGGGAGATAAAATATTGCTGAACTTTTCCTTCGGACGTACGTGCAGCAAACCAATCCGCAGAGAGAGAGTGAGCCGCAAAGTGGTACAGGGGACATCTATGCGGACTGAGCAAGCTGACTGATCATACTGTCAAAAGCTAAAACAGGAGCCACACCAAGGACTAAAAACCGAGGGTTGACAATGGGGAGAAATACGTGCTTGTTGAGTGCCGACGCTCACTCAAACCTAATTTTTGACACTTAAAGTGATGCAGCCAAGTGTTTTAACCCTATATGCACGCGTGCATCAGCGCCGATGGCACTGGCGCACATGTTTTACAAATGATCAATTTAGCTCGCAAACGGTTAAAACAGTTGCAGCAACTTAATTTTTTTCACTCTGTGAAGTACATATTCAGGGCTTCTGAAACTATGATTTGTCTGTGCGATTGCACGGGAGGTTAAATACGTTTGTCTGAAAGTCCGTGTCCAAAGCGTGACCCGTGAGAGGTAACAAACAGCTGTGAGATTCAAACTCAACGGGACTGCCAAGATCGGTCAGAGAGTGAGATGTCTCACTCCATCTGTCTGTACTTGTTGTCCACAGTTGAAACTACAGCTGCGATTGCAATAACCGGCTGAAGGATTTGTGCGCATTATTGATAAAGCGATATTAACATACAGTACTAAAAATGACATTATGGTGTATTATGATGTATATAAATATATGCATCTATATAAAATATTTGACTATGTTTTTATCTTTTTTTGGCTCAGTTTCTTATGTTTTACGTTTTTTACAGCTGTGCTACAGAAGCTAACCCCAGCATCATAGACAAACTGCTCAGGCTAGGCATCAGTGAGTAGAATTTTTTGCTTTTATAGTGGAATTTTGTGATTCAATTTTTTTCCCCATCTATCCCTAAGCCCATAAATAACAATTTCAATGCAGTGTAAAAAGTTTGTATATGCATTTCATTGTGTTTTTTCATTCATTTTTGTTAATTGATTTCCGTTTGATTTTTTTCTTGTCTTCTTGATTTTATAATTTTTATATTAATGCATATGGAAGCCTTTACAATTTGAATATTCTAAAACCCAGGTTTGTTACTGAAAAAACTAAGTATACTGCTTGACTCTGCATCAAAAGATCGATGTTTTATGAACAATTATACACAAGAAAACCATGGCGAAGAGTCAGAAAGTTCCCCAAAATGACCGCATGTGCATAGCGAGGTTAAGTAAATATGTCCCCTTACAAAACCTTAGTTTCTTAAACATCATGCATCCAAATTAAGCAGCAGAACTAAACTGTTATTGCGCAGGCTGTCTGACTCTTCACTTTCAGTTCAGCGTCGGCTGTGAGGAGAACACTATGATATGAAGGCACAATGCTTAGCAAGACCAGTGTGTTGTTTTACCATGGCGTAGTATGCTAACGAGTTTTATCTAAAATTGCGTCGGATTTTTTTAATCTTTTAATTTTTTTTAAATGCTATTAACTTAATGTGAGTAATGTAGCATTGAGTTGATTTCTGTCAATTTATTAACAATTAAAGGATGGCCTCAAAACGTAGTGTTAGGAATAAGAAGTGATCGACCTTGCTGTCTTCTCGTCATCTACGTCCAACACGTTAACTGGCCGCCCTCTTAGGAAATACGACATATTAGGCGGAGGCGTGGACCGTTCAGGGCACTGACTTTTAATCTATCCATGTCCCATCCATCTTCTTCCCTACATCTCATTTTATCATTGTGTCGGTTAAGGTCATGGGGTTTGCAGCCTTCAACGCAGCTACAACCCGTTCCAACAGAAGCGAACCAGGCCACTTTCTATGATCCTCCTGCAGGTAGTCTGGACAGTCCCATAGGAGCCTCTGCTTTGTTTGAATCGTGGAGGCTTTTAGGCAATAGTGGGGCTTTATGTGTGCTTGGCCAATAGAGTTCCAGAAGTGTAGAACGAGCAATGCAACACAGATGGTAGTCGCTGAAGCTAGTCTCTGTGGGCGCGAACCCTCGAGCATCAGCTTTAAAGACCAATTGCGTGCTTGCTACTAATTGTGAGCCACTGCTCAGCCCAGTCTAAAGCTTCCTTGGTCTTGTTTCTCCGCAAAATCTTTAACCTGTTCTTCACAATCGTTTCCAAAATTGACCGCCTTCTTGACCTGCATGAAGACACATGTTCCAACTGACTATCTGTAGGCGTTCTTCTTACGTTGTTGGCTGAACGTGTGGTTTTCAATGGATGTCTATGATTTGTGTTTGTTACAGCTTACAACACCTTGCTGCGCTGCTGCAGCTGCAACTTGCGTTTCTGCGTATGATTGTCCGGGCACCTGGTTCAAACACAGGTCATGTCGCCCTCTAATGTGATTTTCGTTTTATTAGTAGCAGGGCCTATTTTTTAAAATGAGTTTTACTGCCTCTTGTGATCAGAGCGGTGTTGAAGGCTGCCGTTAGTACCCTGTTACTGCAATGCTTTTTGAGTTATGTTGTGCATCCGGGCCCCCCAACTCGCTCACAATGAGTTCTTCATTTCTCTCTGTACGCGCTCTCATAACAGCAAGAGCATCTAGTTTTATTTGCGAATCTGACATGTATGCCTTGATACATTATCATATCGTTTGCCTGGCTCAACTTGTTATAGCGAGCATGACTTGTGTGCTAACACATCAACTTTGATTCGAATTGCACTTAAGATTAATATATAAGTAAATAGATACATTAGTTTCGGTCATGTGCACTGGATTGCTATGTAATTTGAGAACTGTTAGTATATTGAACTTTCTACATATTTAAGATTATCATTATTTAGTGACAGCTCCTACAAGCAAGGCATGGCTAACTCCATGGGGACTGTGTTGAGATTGCATTTTATTCTGACCTAGAATAACAGAACTCTAACCCTAAACTAATTTGACCGCTAGTGCTCGCTCAACGCAATCTCTGTTTGTATTCTAGGTGGTGATAACAAATACTTGTCTATTACTCTGCAAGTACAACAAGCTATCCAGCGTCCTGTCTACTTATCATTTGGGTGCGTAGTGTTTCTCTTACACACTGTGTCTGTGTTTAAGAATTGGATTGTCTAGCCGAGTTCTAGGCTCACGACTTCCAAGTTAAACACTATACATTTCAATCAACACCATTACAACGTCTAATCGGACAATCTGAGTACACCTATACCATCCTTTAACTAACACATGCTACGATCGATGTTCAGCAATTTGCTGTCAAACGTTTTCATGACATAAGATACTGTTTTAGTGACAAAGGTCAATCCGATTCGCGGAAAAGAAAAAACCCTGGGGAGTTCCATGTGAAACAGCTAGCTAGCTTTAGCTTGTTACGACCTGCACCGTTCCCGGTTGAAACCTTTGGGGAGCTAACTCTTTTATTTGCAGTTCCATTATAATGAGGCTGTGATTTCTAGGTATGGTATTATAGGTGTTTCTAATATTGTTCATAATATGTATTTGCTGATTAGTCTTGTTATTGTAGAATTATATCGTTCCGGAATTATGAAAGTCGGAAGGCCCTGAGGTTGGGTATTAGAGCAGCGACTGTGATTTGGACGAAGAAAAGTTAAGAACAGGCTTGTAGGGGAAGTATAGAGCGACACTAGCTGATAGAGGAGTAGAGGAGCACTATGGCCGTAGAGACTAGTAGAGACGCGGAAGTCCTGGTCAGATTGGGCCTTAGTGTATAGCGGGAGCACTTAGGCTAGTAGTATACGACTAATGGAGGACACAGGCGGCTGTAGAGAATAAGAGGAAACTAGGCCTGTTAGAAGAGATGTATGAGGCGCAGGGCTTGTAGAGACTAGAGGCGGCTTAAGTGCTGTATGAGGACGTCCAATGGACGGACGACAGGTCGGTGTGTAGAGGTTGAAGATGGACTGCATGGCTGGTAAGGAGATCTACGATGGACGCTGAGCCCTTGTGTTGTTATGAGATGGCTATTTGTGAAAGGAGTGATCGCATTTGAGGGCAGTATGAGACTATGAGGATCTACTAGGCTGTTATGATGACTATGACGGACACTAGGCTGTATGAGATCTAGAGAGGACACTAGGCTTCCTGTATATCGAGACTAGAGGACACAGTGTCTTTGTAGTAGACTGTAGGTTGTTTGACGCTATGGCTGTTAGAGATGAGAGGAACACATGCTGTAGAATGGACTAGTTAGGTATGGAACGCAGCTTATGTTAGAGACATAGGAGGACACCAGGCTTGTAGAGATAGAGACGCCAGGCATTGTAGAGACTAGAGGACGCAGCGGTGTAGAGAGACTAGATTGATCGCTTAGGCGGGATTTGAGGAGTAGATGTGATCTCAGCTGTAGAGAAACGATATTGATGGTGACACAGGCTTGTGTAGAAAGGACTAGAGGAACAGGCCGTGTGGAGAGGACCTTAGTTAGTGACACGGCTTTGTTATGGAGATAGGGAGGACACAAGGCTTGGCTGTATGAGAGCTATCGAATGAATCACGAAGGCTGTAGAGGACTATGCGAGGACACAGGCTGTTAGAGACTTAGGAGGAGTTGCACCGGCTATAGAGCTAGAGGACATCCGGCATTGTAGGGTAGAAGACACAGTGACGTGTAGAGAACTAGAGGAACAACAGCGCTGTACGAGACTAGGCGGACGACATGGCTGTAGAGACTAGGTGGACAGAGCTTATGTAGAGACTAGAGGAACAGCTGTAAGAAGACTAGAGGACCATCAGAGCTGGTAGAGACTTAGAGATCTGCTTCAGCGTACGGAGGACTAGAGAGCGACTACAGCTGTATGAGACTAGAGGATCACAAGCTCTGTGAAGTATGAGGGAACGAAGGCGTGTAGTAGACTATGATGGACAACAAGGCTTGTAGATGGACTACGCCAGGACACAGGCTGTATGAGACTAGAGACACAGGCTTCGGGCCCCCCCCCCCCCCCCCCCCCCCCCCTCCCCCCCTGATTATAGGGAGGACGCAGGCTTGTAGAGGTTACTAGTAGAGGACACAGATTTCTGTAGTGAAGACTAGAGGAGCACAGCTTGTAGAGACTAGAAGGGACAACAGGATGATTGGAGACTAGAGGACACATTGGCTGTAGTCAGGTGCTATGATGACATTCACGTAGGGCTGTAGAGGATAGATGGAGTACTGCAGGCATGTAGAGACTAGAGGACGAACGTAGGCCTGTAGTAAGAATAAGAGTGACGACTAGCTGTAGGAGAGGGTGCTAGAGGACACAGGCGTGTAGAGGACATTAGAGGAAACAGCTGCTAGGAGACTAGAGATCTGACAGAACTGTGAGTGAGACTAGAGGGACACACGTGCTGTAAGGATCTAGATGACAACAGGCGTTGTAGAGAACTGAGACACTGCTGTATGAGATAGAGGACCAGTCTGTAATGATGTACTAGAGGAATACTAGGCTGTAGAGGACTGAGAGACACATGGCTGTTGATGGGCTTAGAATGGGAACGCATGCCCTGTAATGAGAACTAGTGAGGATACACAGGCTTTAGAGACTAAGGAGGACAAGAGGCTGTCAGGAGACTGATGGAGGACGATCAGGCCTTGAAGTGGGCTACGGGAGGACGCGAGCTATATGCTAGGGACGTGGTAGTGACAAACGACTGTTTGAGCGCTAGAGGGAGAGCGTCAGCTTTGTAGAGTGACTATGTGAGAAGCATCGCTTGTTAGTAGACATAGATTAGACACTGGGTGCTGTATTGCATGACTAGAGGAGCAGCAGCTCGCTAGAGGCTAGAGGACACAGGCCTGTAGCTAGACTAGAGCGTGACACTTAGGCGTGTTTGTAGAGAATAGAGGGAGCACAGGCTGGTAGACGAGGTTTAGACACGGCTGTAGAGAGCTGTGTTAAGTGCGAGCATCTAATGGACTTGTAGAGACTGAGGATCTCATCAGACTTCTGTAGAGAGGTCATAGGCGTGACGCTATGGCTGTAGGAAGACTAGAGGATCACGTTTAGGCCTGTAGAGACTAGACGGACACATGAGCTGTCAGAGACGTTGCAGGTACACAGCATTGTAGAGACTAGAAGACACAGCGTGTAGAGACTTAGAGGGACAAGACTTGTACCGGAGATTAGAGAGGAACAGGCTGAATATACTAGCTGTCAGGCTGTATAACCCCCCCCCCCCCCCCCCCCCCCCCTAGACTAGAGGATCACAGACTGTACGAGACTAGAGGACACAGGCTGTAGAGACTTAGAGGACACGGCTGTAGAGACTATGGGGACACAGCGGTAGAGGACTAGATGGACACAGGCTTGTAGAGGACTGAGGACCAAAGACTGTAGAGACTAGAGGACACAGGCTGTAGAGACTAGAGGACGCAGGTCTGTAGACTAGAGACTAGAGGACGAAGGCTGTAGAGCAGTGAGTGGCCAACCCAGTCACTGACTAAGACAGCCAATTTTTTTTGTGTGTCTACAGCAAAGAGAGCCACATCATACAAATGTGAACTACCATAAACATCACCCCTTCCCTTTACACCGCACACACACACCACACCGCTGCTGCATCAGACAGATTTATTGTTAAATGTCATCAACATGATAATGACTGAAATTGACTCGTACAGTACTTAAAGGGCGGGACTCGACTCTCCCCGGTTGGCGGGCGCCTTCCACAACCGCGTCGCTTTTAACCGCTCCCCGGGTACTTTTTATTAATGGTTTGGCCCTGGTTCTAACCCGGGGGAGTTGATACCGAACATATCACGCAGTTGCGAACATCAATTATGAGTCCGAATGAAAAAAGCAAGTTTCAACCAGTGTTAAGCAGAAACACAACTGTCTTTATCGAACCATGATTCACTCTCTGATGCGTTTAGCAAAAGGATATAGATTTGACAATTATCACCAAACACCACTTTTGTGACTCAGTAAAAACCAACTAGACACATGTTCTAGTTATAAGACCAGTATTTTGCATTTTGATTGAAGACGACACTCACCAGCTGAGTTGGCCTTTTTCCTGTGTAAAGCTAGCTGTGTTAGCTGGTTTTTAGCATGTTAAGCCGGTGTTAATGCGATTAAATTTAGCGATGTTATCCCGTAAATTTATTCATTTTGGTCAAACCTTCCTCCAGACTTTGCTGGGTTTTGCCTCTACTTCCTGCTGCTGTGATCTCTTTCATTTCACGGTTGTCAGCTTTTAACCTTTTCTCTGCATTGTCAGTGTTCGTGAGGAATCATTCTGCTCCGTCCTTAGCGCTGCTCCAAAACACCTTCTGGTTTCTGGTGGAACCATCGAGCTCTCGCTGGTGTCCTCTCTTCAACTGAGGAGGTGTTGCCCTCATCCAGGACCAAGGAATTGTTTTCCGTGACGGACTCCATTGGCGTTGAGGCAACGTGTTGTTTGTTATGTTATTTGCAAACAAGTTGAGGCTGAAGAGTGATTGAAGGGCATCTGACAATTCAGAAGTGGCACGTTCGCCGGACGTCAGATTGTTTGGACGGCCTCTGGGCTAGTGGAGTGGAGTCGCCTTGTACTATGGTCAGAACTCCATAGAGAATGAAAGACAGAACCACAACGAGGCGTTTTTGACGCTTGTCGTGTGGAAGCCCGAGAGCCGCACGGAACCAGCCAAAGAGCCGCGGGTTGGCCACCCCTGCTGTAGAGGCTAGAGGACACAGGCTGCTTGTAGAGACTAGAGGACGCAGGCTGTGAGACTAGAGGACACAGGCTGTAGAGACTAGAGGACACAGGCTGTAGAGGACTAGAGGACACAGGCTGTAGAGACTAGAGGAACACAGGCTGTAGAGACTAGAGGACACAGCTGTAGAGACTAGAGGACACAGGCTGTAGGACTAGAGGACGACAGGCTGTAGAGGACTAGGAGGACATCAGGCTGTAGAGGCTAGAGGACGCAGGCTGTAGAGACTAGAGGAACCAGGCTGTAGAGAACTAGAGGACACAGGCTGTAGAGACTAGAGGACACAGGCTGTAGGGTACTAGAGGACGGCAGCTGTAGAGACTAGAGACACAGACTGTAAGAGACTAGAGGACACAGGCTTGTAGAGACTAGAGGACACAGGCTGTAGGAGACTAGAGGACACAGGCCTGTAGAGGATCTGAGGACACAGGACTGTAGAGACTAGAGGAGCGCAGGCTGTAGAGAGACTAGAGGACAAGGCTGTAGAGACTAGAGGACACAGGCTTGTAGAGACTAGAGGACACAGGCTGTAGAGACTAGAGGACACAGGCTGTAGAGTCTAGAGGACACAGGCTGTAGAGACTAGAGGACACAGGCTGTAGAGACTAGAGGACACAGGCTTTAGAGACTAGAGGACACAGGCTGTAGAGCCTAGAGGACACAGGCTGTAGAGACTAGAGGACACAGGCTGTAGAGACTAGAGGACCACAGGCTGTACAAGAGGCTAGAGGACGCATATTAAGGCTTGGTAGAGACTAGAGGACACAGGCTGTAGAGACTAGAGGACAAAGGCTGTAGAGACTGAGGACACAGGTGTAGGGAACTAGAGGACGCAGGCTTTGTAGAGACTGAGGACACAGGTTGTAGAGCTAGAGGACGCAGGCTGTAGAGACTAGAGGACACAGGCTTGGTAGAGACTAGAGGACACAGGCTGTAGAGACTTAGGAAGGACACAGGCTGTAGGAGGCTATGTAGACACAGGCTGTAGAGACTAGAGGCACAGGCTTGTATGAGCACATAGAGGACACAGGCTGTAGAGACTAGAGGACACAGGCTGTAGAGACTAGAGGACACAGGCTGTAGAGACTAGAGGACACAGACTGTAGAGGCTAGAGGGTGCCAGGGCTGTGAGAGACTAGTGGACACAGGCTGTAGAGATAGAGGACACGGCTTATGTAGAGACTAGAGGTACCAGCTGTTAGAGACCTAGAGGACACAGGCTGTTGA